AGGCATTACCTTGTGTCACATGAAGCACAGAAGCTCTGTTGTGGCAATGAACAAGCTCAAGTGACCATTGCTGTATTCCTGGAATCCCAGGCAACCTGTGACATTTATGTAGCTGCTGGGCCATAACAACCTCAGCTTCCTCTTCCTCTATAATAAGAGGAGCTTAGGAAAAGAGAATGAGATTTCTGTCAGTTTTAGCAATAGAACCAATCACTAACTAAATGAATGTGGTTATTTGCCATCATCTTGGCTGAAAATAAATTTCAAGTGCCTGCTTAGACCATGCAGCTCCTCTGAAGCAATCATAGGACAGCATTTTCCAAGGACAGAAACTGTAGTGGACTATTTTCAGCTGTAAACACAAGCAGCTGTAGTTCTGTTGAAATTGGAGAAGTTATACAGCTTTGTACAAAGGTGCAATTTGTTTCCTAGTTGGGATTTAAATTTTTCAAAAGCAGGGATGTTATATTTCTTCTGCGACATTTGCACCTCAATAGTGAACAGCCTTGCTCATATTGAATAGGAGGCAAAATCAGAATAAGGGGGGTTTTCCCCACAGTGAAATTCACATTTGGTTTGTTTGGGTTTTTTTTTCCTGCATGCTCCATTCTCAGAAGTACTTTGAGTTAATTGCTTCACATCTGTGTCACTTCCATGCCTGGTTTTACTGGAGCCAGAGGCTGGCCCTGTGTTTGAGGATTAAGTAGCCTGTGCTGAGCTTTGTGCTGCTGTGGCTGCACCAGGACTCAAACAAGGTGGTTTCAACCTGCCAGGGGTATTTTTGCAATGTGCCTCAAGTTTGGAGGTACATGAAGCAGTGTGTTCAAAGCTTAGCTTTGAAACTCCTTTCTTAGCCAAAAGCCTGTGCTCAGCTTTAATTATTGAGCTCTTAGTTCTCCTCCCTGATATTCTCTCCTGCCAGGAAGACCAGACTGGTTTCCTTGAGAACTTTCCATGACATGTTTATTGCTTAAGTCTGACTAACAGTAGCATAGCTACAGTGCAGTACAGTCTCTATTTTCACTTGCAGTAGCCCAGGTTTTGGTTGTTTGTTTTTTTTAAAACTTTCTCCACTTCAAATTCCTCATGTGTCTGCTTGTAGCTGCATCTCTCTTCACAGAGAAAAGGAAAGCACAACTTCCCAAGGATATTTTCTGAGGTTCACATTCTCTGAGCTTCAGAGAAGGAAAAAACAATTCTTAGCTCAATTGCTGCTGCTCCTCTTGTTGTTCACGAGTGGAATACATTGTAGAAGATTGTTTGTCTAAAAGAAATTGGTAATTAGATTCTACTGTGAGTGTTTTGGTTCGTTAACCAATTGAATCCATATGTGTGTTGTTGGGACTATCAGCAGACAGCTCACGAAATTCTGAGCAGTGGAATGAGGTTGAGTGCTTGTACAAATTCCGTTTAAATGTAGTGTAATATAGTGTAGAATAATATAATATAATAAAGTAATTAATTAACCTTCTAATATCCACAGAGTCCTCCTTGTCATTCCTCCCCTTTGTTGGGGTGCCCTAATTTACAATAGCTGCTCAAGAGAATGACATTTCTCTCTTCAGCATGCTCAGAGGAAGCGTGAATTCAGATGGCAGAATCTTTGTGTTGAGACAGGGAGCTGAACAAATATCTTGAGACCTGGATCACTTTTGATGCTTAGCCTCACACAGGAAAGGGCTGCAGCTCTCATCTGTCTGTATGATGGTGAGTTCTCCAGAGGGAACATGTTCCAGCCAGAAAAAAAGAACTGAAAACTTCTTCCTCCTGGAACTGACTGCCACTGCTGTGCTGATCGAGAAAAAAGATGTGGAAAAATTTGTTTCCTCACCTCCCCTACTTCTTTGGTAGTGAAATTCAGTTTATTTCAGAGAAGGAATTTTTTATTTAAATCTGTATCTTTAAGAAACAAGTCAAACTTGTTAGCCATGTGATTTAGTTTACTCATCGTAAAAGTGACAACATGTTTCATCCTAGGCTGAAGGGAAATCATTTGTAATATAAGTGAAGAAAAAAAAAGTTTGTTGAAAGAATGATTCTGAGAAGCTGGTTATTAAATATAATCTGTTTTGAGTAAAATGCTTGGTGTGGCAGAAGGCTTTGTTGTACTGACTAACACATTTTTATGGACATTCCAACTTTGAACCCTCCTATGAAGTTACTGGCCTTAAGCCTATGCTACAGGAATTATTGTGCTGCTTGTGTTAGTGCTGTCAAAGGCAGGTGGTTATTTTGTTTTTACTGATTGTGTTGGACTATACCGGTAGCATTTGGTAGCCCAGTGGGACTTTACCATTTATGCCAGCATAAGCTTTTCCCCCCTCAGATCTTCTGTCCATCTAAGTGAAGTTAGAGAATTTGTGACTGTGTGGTACAGTGGAGCTTCTCTCTGTGGATACCAGGGGTGAGCTTAGGCAGTGCCTGAGCAGCAGAGCCAGGCTGACATCATGCCTGTGTTATGGAAACAATGAGGTCGTTGGAATGATTTGCTCATTTGGCTGATGCCTCTCTTGTAGGTGTCTGTGTTTGTTGCCGTATGGAACACAAGCCCAGATTGTGTCCTGTCCCTCAGCAGGACATGAACCACTCTGCAGGTTTTTCCAGATGCCTTTTCTGTGATTCTTTTGATTGTACTGCACTTGTGAGCACTAAGTGATAGCTTCTAATAGAGAAAACTTTTGCAAGTCAAAATAAATTCCATGAAAAAGGGTGGTCTCAGTATTTGACCTGTTTATTAAGACCTAGCTTGGTCTGGAATTATCATTAAATCCATCACACAGTCTGCACACTTTCCATCTCCACTCTGTATGCTAAAATCACCATGTAAGAGTATTTTGTCCTGCCTTGATATTGTAGACAAGGCAGGGCAGGTAGATGATGGACTAGGTGGGGAATATTTATTGCAACAGGAGCATTTGAAAGATGTGAAAAGAGTAAGCACAGTGGGAAAGGTTATTTTTGGTTGAGAAAAGAAACTTCTTGGGCCACATCATCCTGTAGTATTGTCAAGACAAATGTTTCCTGTTTTGTTTGGTCATTTTATTTTCCAGGAGTTGTTCTGCTGGTTGCTGCCATGCTTCACAGGAGGAATTCAAAGCTCTGGCTAGGATTTTTGTGCTGGTGTGTTGCCTTCCTGGTGGTGTTGGCTCCTTTTCTGAAAATGTAGCATGTTTTTCCCCTGCAGTAGATATTTTGTGACTTGAATGGATCATTTAATTTCACTGTCCTTCAGAGGCATAATTAGTAACCCACATTCACTTTTGTCTCTTCAATGCTTATAAAATGCTCAGTTTTATTCCTGGAGTGTTCTCTCATGTGAGGATAAGACTATTTTCTGAAGAAATTTGCAAGTAAAATGCTCTTGACCAGTAGTTTTTAAACGTGTTTGCTGTAGAAGGTGTCATTTTCTTCTTTGTAATTGTAAATGCTTCAGCACCACTGAAAATCTAATTAACCTTATAAAAGGAAGAGCACATTGATACTTGCAGGGAGAATGAAGAATGTAGGACAGAGTGAAGCTGAGAAAGTAAAGGATAATATTTAGTTGCAGCCATGGTAATGATCACGGGGACACTCTTGTTTCAGAAGCTCTGTGACAAACACCGTCCCTGTGAATAAATTATTTTTATTCTGCAAGCAGCTCTTTCCTCCCTGAAACTGCACCCAGCCAGCCCCTTGAGGCAGTGTTAGGATATTACAGTTCAGAGAAGCTGGTTTTCAGGCAAATTTGAAATTTAGGGCCTGACAATGTACTTAAGCATTTTGATGGAAATACATTTAGCCTTACATCATGGCTGTGTTTTTAATTCCTTGAGAGTTTTAGCTGGCTACCTTCTGCTGACAGGACCCGAGGGAATGGCTTGAGGCTGTGTCAGGGGAGGGTTAGGTTGGGTAATAGGCCAAGGTTCTTCACCCAGAGGGTGTCTGGGCACTGAACAAGCTCCCCATGGAAGTGGCCACAGCACCAAGCCTGACAGAGTTCAAGCAGCATTGGGACAATGCTCTAGGTGGGAATGCTGGTGTGTCCTGTTCAGGGCCAGGAGCTGGCACTTGGATGATCCTTGTGGGTCCCTTTCAACTCAGGATATTCTGTCATTCTTTCAACATTCACCTTGTTTTGCTGTGTAACAATGGGATACAACATCCTTGCACAGCTGGTAAATATTGGAGTGTGAAGGAGCTGATTGAGTGGTGTGAGATGCTGAGAAAGCAGAGTAGGTTAAGGGCAGTATTTTCTCCTGTACTGATAAGAGGAAGTTGATTTCTAGTGTAGATTTTTACACTTACACTATATATGTGCATATACACAGTTCTTTCAATAGGAAGGACCTTTCCCCACCCCAAAATTCCAAACCTGTCCTATGAAATTATTATAGCTGAAATATTTTATTATTTATTGAGCTCTAAGGATGCAAAGCCTGGATGAAATGCAGACTTTGAGGAGCTTTTAAAGTGTAGCAAGGAAAATGGATATAAAAATGTTGAATTATGTTGTTTTGGTGCTTTTGTGTTGGTTATGCAGAATTCTACAGTCATTGCATCCTGGTGGAGGACACAGGGATTCCTGTTACACTGCTAGCACATGGAAAAATTCCTGGAGGAATGCCACAGGTTGCTGCTCTGCATCTGCTCAGAGAATCAGCTGTGCTCAAAGCTATCAATTTCACTTCAAGGCACAGGAAAACTACCTGGAATTTGTATGCTGCAGTAAGTCATTCATGAATTACTGGGAACTTGGGAATTTGTGTTTATCCTAACACAGAGATGTGATGGCAGCTGTGAAAATGACTGCAGCTCCCCAGAGGCAAAGCAGTGCTGTGTTTGAGCTGCAGCAGCCTGGGCCAGAGAAGGTGAGAGAAACAACACCAGGACGGTCAGGCACCAAAAATGCCTTTATCTTACCTGTGGCCTTTTGGACAAACTCCAGTTGTATCAACCCACAACATCAGACAAAAGCTGCTTTAAGAACACTGATGCAAAAATGAGGTCTTGGGTGGCCATTTCTGGTTCAAGTAGCTGTTTATATATTTATTATAATTATACACAACCTTGACAATCTGTATTGCCATTCAAAAATAAATCCAAGTCTTGTCAATTTGCACATGATCTGTCACTACTAAGAATCCCATTTACATACATGGTAAACATTTTCCATACTTAAACACTGCTTGAAATTCTGATGCTCCCATCTCCTCCCCCCCATCCCCTGGAGTTAGACTATGGAAAGAAACTTTTCCAAGCACTGCAACATTCAGGGACTACCACCTTTTCTGATCAATTTAATTAAACTATTTCAACACTTGGTAGAGGTGGCTGGTGGGTATAGCTCTTAATTGCATTTTTGTTAAAAATTATTCTTGATGGATTTCATTGCAATGATTCCTGGTTTTCATTGCTTGACATGTTTCCTTCTGACCAGGAAAGAAGGAAACCAAAGTTTAGCAGCTGTATCATGTAAGTCACATCAAGCACATTCCTGGTTTAATATTCTGCAGTGCCAACAGTCACATTTAGTTGTTTTCACTGTTGTTGACATGTGTAGTAAGTGGTTGAAGTCTTCAACTTTCAACTGCAGAAAATGAAGAATTCAGCTAGGAGTCAGCCACCACACACTTTTAAGAGCTTGTGTTTATACTCCAACTGCTATCTTGGGAGCTGAAATTATTATTTATGAGGCATTAATGACTTTTGTTAAGCAACATGTTTTTTACCACCTCTTTTGAGTGTTTCTGTCTCCTTGTGCCCAGAAGAAGAAAAAACCTAAGAGTAGCAGAAGTGTAAGAGGCAACAAAATATTCCTCCATCCAGTTAATAACCTAACAGCTAGTAGCAATTAATATAAGCATCCTTAGGGCAGGGAGACCTTACACCAGCCCACAACTCAAGTTTGGGCATCTGAGCTTCACTTGAGAAGGGGTCCCAGAAGTGTGGAAGTATTACAGTGTGATTACACAGCAATGAGAAGTCCTATTTTGAGGAATGAGCTTCGTGATGTCTGAATCTATGGGAATTGAATTTAGCTTCTTCTCCTAGAGCAGCTGGGCAGGTGCTTTGAACCAGCAAACACAGCATGTTTGCACCATGGCTTTGTGTTTTGGATGCTAGCATTGGTTAACTGACAGGCATGGAAAACCAAGAGCTCTGACAAGTGTAGATTCCAACTTTTGTTAAGGCTGTTCATTTTTCACACTGGTGTCAAAAAATAATTGGGAAGAAAATCCTGCCAGCTCCTTGCTTGTTTCCTGAAACTACATTTACACAATCCTGACATGAAAACCCCCACTTAAATATGGAGTATTTGAGAACTGTTATTAGCCATCTGTAGGAGAGACTGGAGTTCAGCACACAGAGATGTTGCAAAACATTAAGGAATTTCAAATGTTGAAGATACAAAGAAATCCCATCAACACACAGATTGGATGCTTTACCTTAAACCACCCCAAGGGGTCCCAAATACTGGAACTGCACTGCAGACACTGCACTGCAGACACTGCACTGCTTCCCCCCTTGCTCTGCCCCGGGGCCTTGGCAGGGAATACAGCTTGTGGAATACAGGTTGGGTATTTCCCAGCTGCCCCTGAGCAGCCAGGACCAGCTGCTCACTGCTCTGCAAACATGCCCCAAAGGCAGTGTTTGAGCAGTGCAAGGACACTGCCAGAAGCCAGCAAGGGAGAGGAGTCTTAGTTCAAATTCAGACATACAAAAATCAAATCCTTCATTCACAATCAAGGGGTATTTTGTCATGAAGCAGCAGCTTCAAGAAAGAGCATAATACCCGAACTTGAGTGTTTATGTTACATCTGAAACTCGAAGGAACTCCTTGGAGTCTAAAGTACCGTAATAATAAAAGTGGAAAGGAACTCATTCATCAGTTCTAGACTAAACTCAGTTTAGTAAAGAAAATTAAAACAAATAAATTGTGAAGTCCTTTCTTGAGCGAGTCCATTAATGCTCCACACAGGAGAGAATGAGTCCTCTTCAAAGGAAAGAAGGAAGCTCTTACTGGTAAAATGAACCAATGTATCTATGGTTTCTGTATAGAAAATGAACCAATGTATCTGGTTTCTAACTAAATCTCTACATGACACTTCAGAACCCAATTTACAAAACTTTTGTTTTTTAAACAAACTCTACTGCCTTTACAAAGATAGTGTTGCTTCCTTTTTTTCTTTTTGTGAGACATGGAGGGAACATTTTCAAATATTAGAAACGTATCTTGCCCTCAGCAGAAAGTTTCAAGTAAGACATTATCAACAAATACCTGCTGTTATAATATACAAGATGCAGAGCAGCAGACTGCTGCTGGTTCCCTACCAAAACTTGGTGTTGCCAAGACACTCACTCTGGGGCTGTCAGGGGAGGCAGAGGGACCTTGCTCATTGAGTCTGACACACAAAACCACAAGTTGTGCCTAGTGTGTAAGTACTTAAATCTGTCCTGGTGAAATCTCCTCTTTGTAACAGGAACCAGATTACATATGAGCAAGTCATACATTAATGTGAACCTCGCTGTGAAAGATCAACTCTGCCATCCCAAATGGGATTCCTAACATGGACCTCAGAGCCAGCTTCTCTGGGCTGCATTCCTCTTCAGGGGGATCTAGAGACAGACCAGATGCACAGCAGGAAAACCTCCTATTCTAGTAAGAAAACTTGACTACAACTGTTTGTCTGAACCATATCTGCTTTTAAGCGTGCAGAATTACTCTAGCCTTTATCCTAAGCACTGCTTCAGATATCTGTGATGTGGCATTAAGCATCTGATGGCCATGAGCAGAGGACACTCAGTTCTTGCACATGAGCCTTTAGCTACTGGAGAGCTGACACTGGAGATTTCTGCAGTTTTGTGCTCTTCTACCACAGGTACCAAGAAGTCTACCTAGACAAATTATTGTGTAGCTGGATTTTAGGAAGCCAGTACTTGAGAATGCTGCTCATTACACTGCTGTGGTAAAAGCCATGAGGATATAAATGTTGTTAAAGCCTACAAGACCCAAGCCAGCCCAGGCTGACTGATGCTGCAGTACTGTCACACCTCAGCACCAGAGGAGTGACAACCGTGGCAGAACTCAGGACTGAGGTCACAGAAGAGCTGAGCTGCAGAACAGCTCTCCTCAAAGTCACTCAGTTTTTGCTCAAGGACATTAAACATGTAAACTTACAGTGTCAGACCACCCACTCTGACTGCATGGAAGAGAGAAAAGTAGATGCATCTCAGTCACTTGAAGTCAGTCATGAAGATGCAATTCCAGCACTTGAACTAGTCTGGCAGATTTCTGTACAGCCATGAATGACGCTTCCATTTTCTGTGAAGGTATGAGAGAGTTGAATTCACCTCTCCCAGGGGTCATGAGTTACTTTCTGGCATGAGCAGTGGTAGAAGATGAATGGCATGGCTGAAGATAAATGGCTGTCAAAGCCAGAAACAAGACTGTGGTTCTTCACTTGTTTACAACAGCAACACCTCCTACGGGAGAACCACTGTAGGAGTGCCTGGTTAACATCTGAATTTGTTTCTGGGACAGACTTCAAGTCACTGCAGCATTACACTGCAACTTATTTTAGTTTCTGATGCTAGGTAAAAAAAAACAGTTTTCATACTTAGACTAGCCCACTGCCATTCTGGTAACAGAAGAGTTTTGAAGTCAATAGTGACTGGCTTTAGCAAGTGCAGCAGCACCTCAGTGACTGACAGAAGCATTTGGAATATATTTGGGACACAGACTGGACCTTGACAACATTTAAGATGTATCAAAGAAAACAGTGATTTTCTACTGTGTAATACATTGTATACACTTTCATTAGAGAGCTAAATGACCAAAGCTAAGTGGTAAACTATGCAAATTCATCAGGTAGATTCCACCTTTGGGGTAATAATATCCAGTTTTTAAGCTCTTTTGTTTTGGTCCTTGACCAAAAAATTTATGTGCTGAGCATCAAGGCTTAAAGAAGCTCTCAGCACTTCTTCCAAGTTTGCACCAAACAGCATTTAAGCCACCTCAAAATCAGGGTGCTGACACCCAGTTTGCACAGCACTGCTGCTGTTGTTTCTCCTCCCCAGGATGAGATACAATCAGATGGAAATGGAATTCAAAACAAAAGAAGCGTTAATAGTTCCATGTGCAATGAGACATTTTCAAGGGAAAGCTACGCAGCAGGCCTTGAATGTTCTCCCCTCTCGTGCTGTTCTCACCAGCATCACCCTGTCCTAGGCTCAGCAGGGTATGTACAGCAACGTGCAGAGACCAGGGATTCCAGCACCCAGCAGAGCCACGGTGCTGGAGCAGTCTGCAGTGAAGACTGGTAGTGGGATGGGAACCCAAAAAACGCCAAAAAGCTCCGATTATTCAGTTCCTATGAAAAAGACCGTACAATTCTCATGGTACATCAACAAGATGGACTGGTATGCCAACTAACCTCTATTTTAATATTTAAATTATAACAATACAATAACTAGAAAAGGTCAGTGCTTCAAGTGACAGGTTTTGCCACTTCAATTCCAATATTTTTCCAAAATAAAGATGCGATTAGATCTACACTTGAGCATCAGTAGTGCAATACAGTATCCTTTCCTGAATAAAGGAGCTGAGGTTTATCCACAATAAAAGCTTTAAATAAGGTAGATTGTTGCCATTTATATATCAATTCTGTATGTTTGATATAAAATATATTGGGAAAGCTTCAACTGACTTATACAATCTACATTTGGCTAAAGCTCCACATAAGCAGCATCAGTGGAAATGAACATCAGAGGTGTACTTAATATAAAACACTTTCAAAACTACTCAGCAACAAATGACAGAAGTTTGGCTAAGAATAACTGAACATCTGAGGTGTGTACCAGACAAAAAGAATGGACCCTGTGGTTACTTGCACTATTTTAATGAAGTAAAAGAAATGCAAGGTTTAGTCCACTTCCATTTCTCCGGGGGGTTTGGTCTGCTGGGGGTTGTCCTTGGCTGGTTCGGGCTTTGTTTCAGCAGCGCTCTGTCCGTTCACGGGCCCGTTGTGCTCCCCGTTAGCTTTGGCCTGCCCCTCACTGGGAGCTTCTATCTTCGGCTTGGGCTTGGACAGAATGGGGTTACAGAAGCTATCCAATTCCTGGTTGTGACACAAGTGAGACAGCAAGGTCATTTGGGGGCACAGCAACTGCACCCAACTACACTGCCTCTCATTTGTACTGTCCCTAACTGTCACCGTGGTACTTTATGAAAAAATCCCTTCGCCAGGATTTTTTCTCCTGGGAAGCTGGGAAGCTTCAGCTTCTCCGTGTTTTGCTCCTCTGGAATGTGATTTGGAGAATTATTTACCCAGCATGTGAATTGTTTTAATTATTGGCCAATCACAGCCAGCTCTGTTGGACTCTGAGTCTGTCACAGGTTTTTATTATCATTCTTGTCTAGCCTTCTGATGTCTCCTTTCTCTTTCTTTAGTATAGTTTTAGTATATCATTTTCTTTTAATATAATATAATAAGTCAGCCTTCTGAGAACTTGGAGTCAATTCTCATCTCTCACCTCGTCCTGGGGATCCTCACAACACTGCAATACCTAATGGCCTGGAATGTCGTTGTCAAGGACCAGACTTCTCTATTCTGCAAAGTCTAGAAACTTAAAAAAAAACTTTTCACCACCTGAGGAGCCTCTGATTTGCTACAAACCTGTATGTGACAGCCCATTCTGTAGAAACCTGGTGCTGTAAATCCAGGGTATTGTGCACAGGTACTACTGTAAATCAAGAGCCAGCACTGAAGAGTGCTCTAACTGCTGCCCTCTCTGTATAAGACCTTTCAACAGCTTTAAAATCTCTGCAGATGTGTAATTCTAGCTCAGATCTAGGCTAAAATCTGGTTCAGGAAAAACTGATTAGAATGCAACAACTACAATTATTATTTTTTACCTTAGATTTTGCTAGTATTTCTGCCACTTTGACAACTGGATCCTGAGTTAGACTGAGTTTGTTCTGGGCATTCATTTTGCTGTTCAACCAATTCATAGCCTCATTAATGTATTTTTCAACTTTCTCCATCTCAGCAGGATCTAGGTGGTCGTATTTTTCATCCTAAGGAGAGAGAGAGAGAGAGAGGTATTTGTATCACCAATTAAAATATGCTGCCCACCCAATTAAGTTAATCTTTGAAGTTACAGAAACACTGGTAACAGCTGTTAAGTTCAGAGATCCATTTCAGGTGGTACCAGCCACCACAAAAACCACAGGAATCTCTGATTTATGTTCTCAAGAAGCAGCTCTTTCTGCTGGCAATAATGAACAAGTTTAAAGTTCTCAGGGGCAGAAGTACAACAGCCCTTCTAAAGCAGTGCAAGAGGTAACTTTACAGGATTTATTTAAACACAAATAAACTCTACAGGCAAACTCAAAACACCTACAATCATTTAACAACTAAATCTTTTGCCTTTACCTTATTTTTGTATGCTTCTACTGCTTTCATAAGGAGCTGAATCTTCTTCCCCAGTTCATTTAGAACTTTTGGTCTCTCTTCATGTTCCATGCATCTTTCCTGGATAGGCTGTCCAAATTTCTGGAATAATAAGCATGAACATCTTGACAAAACACGTATTTCCTTTAGTCTGCTCTAAGAATACAATGCAGCATGGGAAGGAAGGCTGCCTTAAACTCCTTTTCTCATCCCTCCAAAGGGCCAAGTCTTTGCATATTGCTTTAGTCCAACAACAAAAAAAAGCAGAAGGTTAAACACAGGAATAGTGACTGTTCTTTCTAGGGTTGGTATTTTGCTGTTTTTTGCAAAAAGAGCTTTTGGAACAGAAACCAGTGAGGCTTTAAGGGATGCTTTAATTTTTAAGTAGTTAATCTGAAAACATCTAATTTTATCCACTGTTTGCTTTTTCCTTCTCTTGAATCCAGGCAGTTGCCTGGATCTACACTGCTGTTTCCATCAATTATTCCTCCCCTTGAGGAAATGTGACTGGAGAGTAAACAGCTGGAACCCAAGGGCTAGACACATGCCTCAACTTCCAATAAAGTAGGTAGTTATTCATCAGAACTCGTATTTTCCCCATTAGATCCTTAAAATCTGAAGCATTTGTCATCAATAAACAAATGATACAATGGAAGCTAGTGTTAAAGCACCCCAGAGCCTTTATTGTTGGATATTAGACCCAAAAGTTGGTCTTACTGTACATCTAAAGAAGATCACTGAGAACAGGGAAAACAGAATGTATATTCTGGAACATAATTCTCATTACCCAGGAGTGCAGTCAAACTACTCAGAAGTCTGACAGAAAATTCCCAGAGCAATTAAATCTATTACCAGTAGTGACAGTCTGCTTCATTTCAACCATCTTCAAATTAGGAACACAACTCACATTAAACTGTATTTCTAGTTCTAAATATGAGTTTTCTAGAGAACAACTTAAAACCTTACTTTTAATTCCTGAAGCTTATCCATGTATACTTGTTTTGGCTGGTCCTCTCCATCTTCATAAAGCCAGTTTTCTGTGTCCTCCAACATCAAGGTCAGCTTGTTTGAGTCCTACAAAGCAAATTATGGACACTCCAAGTCAGAAAGGAACACATCAAATGAGACTTCTCTCCCTGGCACGAACCCACCCTACTCAAAAAAGGACTGCTTCATCAGCTTAAAATAAATATTCCAAGTGAGAGTAAAGGAAAACAGTAATTAACAGACTTCAAAGCCAAGATTTTACAGTGATGAGAGAGGCAGGACAACCCTACTCATGTGATTTGCAGGTGAAGTTTACCAGAGTTATAAAATCAGTCCTGAGGCTATTTAAGGCAGTCCATGCACCTCTGAAAAGTGTTCCATATTATCTGTTCATTTCCTTTTTCTTCCTACCCAGTCATGCCATTCAGAGCCTACTTTCCTGTGCTGACCATGGGGTTTTCCTTTACTTTCTGCCTGCATCCCTGACCCTTCCTTGCCACTGAGGAGCTTCTCAGACAGTAAAGAACTCTGCAAGTCAAATGTCAGGTGTCAACATTAACCTGAACTTCACTGAAGCCATCTCCTATTCCAAAACTAGTCCAAGAGACCCCTGCAGCCTCCACAGAACACACACACAAAATTTATCAACACAAAGGAACTTTTCCCAACAACTGAAATGTATAAACAGGTCTTACTTCTTCAGTGATGAATTTCTCAAAGGCTCCACACAGCTTGTCTCTGAATTCATACACATATTCCTCAACAGCATTCTTAGCATCATTTCGTTCCTTCTCCAGCTTGTCTTGCATCATCATCTTCCCCTAGGGTGGAGAAAGGCACACTGAAAACTGAAAGCATTTTTAAGTGTCAAGCTTAGTGACTACACTTCAAACTGTACCAGAGAAGCTGGCAAAGGCCTGATAATTCACAATTACTGATAAAAGTGTTCATCTCTGTGTAAGTCATCACTACAAGCACAACCAGAATGGGCTAAAGTCCAGAGAAACTGAGTCATTTCAACAAAAACCCAAACCACAACCAAAACCAAAACCTGTTACAATTATGGGCAACTTTCTAAGGAATTCTAAATTAGCTAAGTCAATGATTGCAACTATTTTTTAGATACTTATTTCCAGTGACATTAATTTGAGCAGTCACCTCTTTATGCTGCTTACCTCATTTTCTATATAGGAATTGATCAGATCTTGTCCCAGCTGCCTACAGAGGCTTGCCTGTATAGGGAGGTCAATACTCTTAACTTTTGTTTTAGCCTTTGGCTGGGAGGGATGATCTTGCTTTTCTCCAGAAGCAGCCTATGAAAAGAGTGACACCACTAAGAAACTTGCAGGAATTTTAAGTATTACTACATTTACGACCAAAAAAGAAAGACAGATGAAACTAGTTAAGACAGCTACAAATAATTATTATGTAAATTAAGCACCTAATTATTTCTCTATATTCAAAATCACCATTACCTTAGTTTGGATCCAAACAGGTGAAATTAATTTCTTTAAAGAACTGTTAAGTAAACTTGTTCAAAAGCTTAAAGCACTGCATATTATTCTTCACAATGTTTCCCAATCTCCCTAAATTCCATCTTCATTATAAAACCAGATTTAACAGCAGAAACCTGCTTCAAAGTCTTAATCATGCTATGTTGAAAATTAAAGTGCTATGGAAAGATTCCCTACTTATCCTCTAAACACAGTCCCATGTTTTCCAACTAGCAAAATCAGTTGAGTGTGAGAATACTGGGCTAAAAATGTCCTATCAATACTGAACACAAACCTTTGTTTCAGTTCCAGCATTTTCAGTTTCCTCATCTGCCTGGTTCTGTTGTTCAGCTTGACTTTTCTGCACACCTTCTTCTTGATCAACCTGCATTTTATCCTGCAGAGAGTTACATAACTGAATGCAAAGGTTTGCTGTAAGAATGAGGACTGATATCAATTGCAGTAAATCCCAGACAACATACAAACTTCACAATCAATCTTTAAAATTTATGGTTCACCATGTTTAAACAGGCATTTTGATGTAGTATTTGTAGTATTTTTATTTATAACTTGCAAATTAAATGAAAATTCTACTCTACTGCTTGATGTTGCTGTCTGTCCCCATTACATAATTACACTAAGCCTTGTGAATACTCACTTGAAATTAGAAACAAATACATATAAAATGGAACCAAAGAACATTCTAGCAACACACCACCAACACAGGAAACAACAATGGATTCTCTATGGAACAGCCAGAACTTTGACCTCCTGTCATTTCTCACCTAAACTTTAAAGCTTACAACCCAAAGCAGAAGTCATTTAATCACTGCAGTTAATTACCTGCATCTGTCTCAAAAGGCAGTGAAATCAATAAAAATCAGCTTCTGTAGTGGTAACCTCTTGGGAGTACAGAAGCAACTCATCTTCCCTCCATGCCACCCAAAATAAAGAGAGCCTGACTTCAATTTTTCAGTAAGTTTATCACTTATGCCTTATTCTAACTTTAACAATCTGACTGGTAAATTACCAGTGCAGATCACTTGGTTTAAGTAATACAGCTCCATGTCATCACCCAAAAACACTTTTAATGACACAGTAATGGGTAAGCCTGGTGTTTTCAGGATGATTCTAATACTCAGTGATCCAGAGCATTAATAACTAACAAGCTGTAGCTGAGATCTGAAAGGTCCAAGACTGCCTCCATGACAAGGAATTAATATTTCTGGATTCACAAACTACATATGAATGGAGAATAATTTACTACTAGTTCTGCAAAACAATAAGAACAATTGTTGAAGATTTCAAACTCTATCACAGGTGCCTATGTTGCAGTTCAAAGTGGAGAACAGGAAGACTACTTCTACCAAATTTCAAATTTTGTCACTTGAGAGTAGGAAAAGAGTAATATCTAAATCCTCACTTGCTGTTCTTACTGTTCACACAGAAAAGCCAACAGCTGGAAGGAACTGCTTTGCCTACAGGAAACAGCTAGAGAGGGGATAACAGGACACACAGACAAGACAAACCTCCTCCTCAGAGTCGAGGGCATGATCCTCAATACTGAAAGGTAATTGCTGACAAGCACCATGGTGAAACAGAAGATGTGTTAGTGCTACAAATGGAAAGCCTGAGCATGGAAGCAGCTACTCTCACACTGAATTCAGCACACTCCCAGTAAGCTCCACGTGCCTCTTACACTAAAGGCCAGCTCCAGCACTTCCAACCTTTGCTCACTTGATCACCAACACCATGTATGGAGCTGCACCATGCTCAGCATTTCAAATATGCCCACATTCCTGGAAAGCAGTGTAGTCTTTAAGAAGTTGCTTATACCAATTATGTAATGCTAGTTGTGTAACCATTTGCTCTAATTCCTGTAGAATATCCAACTAAGGTGGGAGAAGCTAAGGCCAAATCCTAGGAGAAAGGCTGTCAGGGCCAGTGTTGGTGTTGCTGTTTCCAGCTCTGAAGTGGCACCCAGTCCTCAACTCTGCACTGCAAAGGGGCACCTCACTGGCAGCTACTTTCAGGAGGCAGTGCAGTTTTCCATGTATAGAGAAATGCCATATACTTTTTACTCAGTGAAAATATACTTTGTGAGGAAAAACCTTTAGAATTAATTTGTCAGCAGATCTCATTAAATACTCTGCCTTTTGCTAACAACACTAGATAATGCCAAGACTAGTAGAGAGATGATAAAGAACAATGAAAAAACTACTTTATGACTTTTTTAGAATCCCATTCTTTGTTCTTATTGCCACACTCAAGCAATAAACATGAAGAAACATGTTACATAACCAAAGAAGTAATTTAAGGGTGGAGAAGCAGTAACCACCAGAAGCCAAGCAGGGCCATTCACCCTGCAATTATCGGCTCTCATTGTTGCCACAATGACAGTGAAGACGTTTACAAGCTTTACATACCAGCTCCTCATCTCTGCCTTGGTTCTTACTTGCTGACTCGGTGTCCATGGGGGTGTCGTTGTGCTCCCCCTCCACGCTCAGCTTCTCGATGATGGACGCGCTGGCCACGCTGAACAGCCCGTGGATGTTGACTCGCACTTTCACCTTCACCTTGGAGTTGTCGCCGTCGTGCTGGGGACTCACGTTCTGAATGGTGAAACGCCCTTGGGAACGACAGAAATGGCTTTAATTGTTGTCCCAAAACGCAGAGGAAGGGCGGGAAAACCCCAAACACATTCCTTAAAGGGTGTTAATTTAAACAGCAAGTTCACTGTTTGGAAACTTTCTACTTAGCTGACAATCCTACAGTGTAAGCTGCAGGTAGATAAACTAAAAGCTGGTTCCCCAATTATTATCAGCTCACTGATACATTTGCTTTATCTGTATTTATAAAAAATAGACAATACTTTACTAGGTGTTCTACTTCTCTGTTGCCTTCTGTAACCACCACACTAGAGAAACTACTCTGATTTCATCTCAAATGGTTTCTTTTGTCCACGTAACTCAAACTTCACACTGAAAAATAAAACGTTAACAGAGATAAAATATTCTGCTTAACTTTCATAACATGCCTACACTACGCCTGCACTACACTTTCTGGAAAATGAATAGTGCTTAGCAAGGTTTCTGAAAGCAGTGGGGTTGATACTTTATTTTGCAACTTGCAGAAAATTTAAGTGTAGATGATGTGCATATGTAAAGGAGAATGTTTCTTCCTCAGGACCACAGACTTCCTGCATAGACAGCCAAACAGCAGCAAATTTGTACCTGATTCATGAATCAGTGAATAAACAATGAATTAAAGAAGTGTACTAATAACTGCAAAAAAGTAGCATTAGCTAACAAGAAACTTATTAATGCCATCTAATTCTTCAGCCTTTACTACAGATGCTTATATTTTATATTCTCAGATTAACAGAAAGAGACATGACAGCATGAGACAAGTTATCTGTCCAGACAGGCAACAGCTCCTTTGATCCAATTTTTTTGAAAAATACAGGCTGGCAGGCACATAAGATCCTAATCAATTTTATAGAATCTAAAAGAACCAGGCAATAGAGCACTAAACTCTTTGTGCCTACTTCTTTTGAAGCATTCAGTAACTGTAAAGATAGAGAGCAGGATGAATGCAGAATTTTTTTAGGCATGTCAAATAGAGATGTCAACATGGTTTGCTCACTACACTTAAATCAAGAAGCCTGTGCTGAGCCTTCCTAAAGGAACTAAGCTTTTCAGTAAGCTAGAAAATATGGAAGTAACATATCTCACAGGAGAGAAGAACCACTTTTTCCTGTATCAAAAGGAGCTAGGGATGGGGGTTTTATTCCCATGTCCTTACCTATTCTGGAATCAGGATAAGGCACTTCGTGTGGATGGGTATAATAAGCTTCCAAGTCAAAAGGCTCTTTCTTGTGGAAGGTAATTACTTTTGAGAATGGAGCAGCATGGTTCTTACTGAAGACTTCACACTCCCTACAGCAATAAACATTAGATAACATTAAACCTCTGAGCATAACTTGATGGATAATCAAAGTCAAGGTAATGTTAACAATCAGCAGCCCTGCTGACCAAGCAACTGAGTAATTTGGTTTAAGTCAGTTTTTAACAAGAGTTGGAGGTTGAAGGCCTCTAGGTCTCAAAGCTGGACTCTGGATTTTATGTCACACTTATTAAAAATTAGGCAACTTCAACCCAACATTCTAATTAACTGTATTTCCAATTGTTGAGCAGTAACTGGAACCCAAAAGGTAAAATGCTAAAAAAGAAAATTAGACTTTCAACATTTTTCTTTATATCTAAACACACACTGTTTTGTTGGCACTGTACAACTTACCCTGTTCCTTCTTCATAAGATGATTTCCATCTCAATGTTATGGAGTAAGGAACAACATCTGTGATGGAAAACTCACGCACTTTAAAAGCTGGAGAAAGAATTGCACACTAGGGGAAAAAAAGAGACCACAAATTTATTATATCCATGTGGTCAAATAAATAGCAAGTACAAGAATTAATACTTATCATATAGGTCATATGGAGGTCCTGCTTATCACAGACTTTTTTTTTTTAACAGAAACTTCCTAGAGTTAACTGAACTGAAAGACTTAACTAAATTAATAGGTATTATTTCTTCAGTGATTTTCAGCGAAGGTTCCAAGTGACAAAACAGAAGTGGAACAGCAGAATTTAGGTTCTCAAATTTAACAGGTCTTTTCAACAAGCCCGTCCCTCTAACATGACACAGCAAATTAATGAATGTAACAGAATTCCAATTAGTGCAAGAACAAGTAAGACTCTACATCTTGTCTCAGCTGCAGTACCTTTTGCTCGTGATTAGCTGGATTTCATTAGTACATTTTGTTAAAGAAGCAATATTGAAGTTTTATTTCAGGAACTATACCTGCAAGGCACAGCCTCTTGCAACAGCTTCATCAGCATTTAGGGTGGTGCTTATCTCTTTACAGAAAAAGTTAGAGATCTGTTCCTTCACTGCTGGAATTCTAGTAGCCCCACCTACTATTTCTATACTGTAGATATCTTCACGCTGAAGTTCTAGAAAAGAGAGTGCATGCCCTTAAGTTATCATCAAGGTATCAGAAAGCTATCTTTGGACAAAAAAAAGAAGAGAAAAAAATAAAAGCTCTCTTATTATCTAGACACTGTGACAAGTGCTGAATGTATTTCATGGCTGAAAAGATCTTTAAAACTCTTTGTCCCTCCTGTAGGCTACAAGGTTTTGTAGTTGCACAAACCTGGGAAATGCAGAAGCCAAGCATCAATGAGAACAGCTGTTCTTTAAAGAGTGCTGTCCATGTGCATCCCTTTTCTGCTCTGCATGAACTCAGAAAGGTGAAACTAGGTCTTCTGCACTACTGGACAGTATCTCACCTCTCCCAAAAAAACCAACAAAATGAAACCCAAATAGATCTCATTTTAATATTTGGCTGAATTTTGCTTGCCAAAAGAGAAAAGAAAACCTTTAAAGCCAATATATGTAAAAAATAGCACATTGTGCTTGAAGGTTAACTTTTTGATTCTGGAATCAGGATATGTGTATGAAGTAATCTCAAACAACTGTCAGTCCTTGAACAGCTCTGCTCAGCAGTTACTCAGGTTTTTAATTCCTGGATTTGCTATCGAGCCAAGTCACAAGATCAGCAGAATTCTTCCCTTTCAGTTGAAGGTGATGGAATTGGGGGTAAAACCTTCCCTGTTAAAGTCTACTTCTCTCCTTTACACTACATTAGCCAAAAAAAAAAAGAAAAAAAGAATTACTTTGTTATTGGCACATGCTTTAGGTAATTCAATTTAAGAGTATACTGCCAAATTACCAGGTCAGTGAGGACATGTAAGTACCACATGGAACAGGCTGGCCAGAAGGTTGCAGTAAAGAATAGTATCTTTTACTATCATCATTTTGGTTTGGTTATTTGGTGGTTTTTTTAAATAAATTCAGAGTGCCAACCTTTTCCATGACAAAGGGTGAATGAGGGTCAATAACCAAGGTTGCAGAGCAGCATGTGCACTAAATGAGGCGGGAATGGGATCATGCATTCATGGCAAGCATATGAATGGAACTTACATTTAACTTTTCAGTATTTAGCTTTGCAATTCTAATAAATACAAAAATACATTGAAAAGATAATCATTAAAGAGATCAGGAACGACTGGATTACTAGCAGCACCTCAAGTAACTTCTACTTACTGGCTTGATCCATGGCTGCTCTTAGGGGAGGCTCCACTCTGGCCAGAAGGGCAGCACACAGCTGCTCGAACTGAGCTCTGCAGGGCAGGGAGAGACTTGGTGTTACCAGGCTGCTCAGAGACCACAAGCCCTGGCCCAGAGTGGGAACAACACCCAGTACCTGTTCATCTTACTGGAGACATCCAGGTCGTTCATGAAGCACTCGATGTTGAGGGGAAGGTCGGAGGCGTTGGCGCTCATCAGCTTCTTGAGCTTCTCACATTCCTGATACAATCGCAGCAGGGCTCGGGGGTTCTCTTTTACATTCAGCTTGTATTTTGTCCTAAATTCTTCAGAGAAGTAATCTACCAAAGCCTCATCAAAATTCCTGCCACCTACGAAAGGGTCAAAGGTAGTGGCCAAGACCTGGCAGAAGTCAAAGAATGAGATCAGAAGTTATCAGACAAGGTTTGTGCTATGTCATTTACTCAGCAAAGCAAGAAGTGCCATCATTGCCTTCCACATAGCTTCAGAGGGCATTTGGCTACCAGAGACAGGCCCACAAGAGCATTCAGCCTTTAGTAGGTCACAGACAAAAAAGTCTCCAAACCAGGAGGCAAAGATTGTGCAGCTTTGCTTCACATCCCACTGGATTTAGACTTTGAACTGTCGTGGATGGCACAAAAAAAACCCCCAACATCTCACAGTGACTCAAGACAGTTCAAGAGTCGCCCATAAGTGAGTCAGTTGCACAACTGCAACACTTAAGAAGCTCCCTGAATATGCAAATATTTCAGGGATATGACACAAAAACTGTGCAGTGTCCTTAATGATCGAGCACTTTGCAAAACACACTTCAGGATGATACACTTCTGCATTTTACAAAAACTGACTTGATGAAATAGCCAAAATGTAACAGAAAGGTTCTGTATTCCACATTTAAAAAATATTTTCTATAGACATTTATTTTTAAAAAAACTAATCTTTCCACAAAGCAGTATTTTGAGTTTTAAATACTTCAGGCTTTTAATGTACAACTTCAAAGATTACCTTCAGTTTTCCCTTGTTAAAAGCACAGATGGAAACCTGATATGCAGAATGCCCCATATCTACAAAGACCACATTTCTTGGCTTCTCTTCCAAGGCTGGCAGATCTTGCTTGTATATTCCATAGGCTAATGCAACTGGAAAACACCAACCCATGGAAGGTAAGGGGAAGGCACACAGCGCTGCAGACCATACATTAAAAGCACTACCAAGAGACAGACACTGCCCATGTTCACCCTTTCTAAAGACCTTCATAACCCTTATTAAAAAGTCAAAGTTGTGTTGAAAACACATTTTTCACTGACAAGAGAAAAAGATGTCAAGTGAAAGTTTAGCACTAACAAAGAATCCCCCTGTATTTCAATTCTGCTTGTAGCCAAATGAACACTGCAATCTGTGAAACTGCACAGATTAAGACTCATGCCTACAGCTCTCCCTTGAAATGCCTTAGCTTTGAAAAATTCAAGCATGCCCAAGAGATAAAGGAAATGCTTTGGAAGATTCGTTTACACAAATCTATGCTTTCACAACCAGCACTCATTTGGAAAGCTTTTTCAACTTTCTAAAAGCAAAGAGAATCATGAAATATAAAAATTACAGATTTAATCAGATCCAACTTTAGTCCTCATGAAGTGTTAGGCATTTAAATGCTCTACCTTAGAATTCACCAGAACCAGAAGAAGGGAGTAAACTACTTTATAGAAACAGTTGTGCCATTGCTACAGCTGACAGGACTGCCACAACTTGAAGCACAGATGCCAGGTTTATTTCCAAAGCTATTCCCAAGTGTGAGTGTGCTCAGGTTAGCAAACCCCAGCTCTCATGGTGCCTCCCAAGTGCTGCACGCCACGCCACTGCTGTGTTTCCAGTTCCCAAACTGGAATGGGCAGTACTAGCCTGGACAGCTCTCTCCCAAGCTCCCAATTGTGTAAGAGCAGGGTGTCATCACCCTGACATTCAACAGCCTCAAAGGACAAAAAAAAAAGTCCTGGCCCTTTACCTGCTGTAGTTTCATTCATCAGCTTCAGACAATTTAATCCTGCAATCTGTGCAGCTGCCATTACAGACCTTCTTTCAGCATCAGTGAAGAAACTGGGGACCTGTTTCCAAAAATAATGACATTGGATATTATAGGATATGGATTTTTTAATTTAGAGTAGTCAGACTTGCCCATCAAGCTATCCTATAAATGTCATTACCACAAGAAACTGTTATAAGCTAACCTCAAATTATTAAAGCTGTCTGAATAAATCAGCGAGATAATTCGTTTCAGTGCATATTTTAATTAAAAATTCAAAATATGCCAAAAATGAAGTTGCATCCAGGGTTGTTTTAAATAAAGCAGATTTTAACATGCAAAACAAAAAAAATCCTGAAAATGTTTTCTTAGATTGTTTGAATGAGTCTTTCACCTCAAAATCATCACCAGTTTCTGGAAACACTTGTGCAGGACAAAGAAAAAAAAAAACCAAAACCCAACAAATATTCACACAGAGCCCCACAGTAAGTCACTGGCAGAAGCACTGGAATCCAGCTTGAACCTGCATCCCTTTTCCAGCTATCACTGCCAGCTTACAGTGTGCTGCAAGGTTCAGTGCCACCAAAAATAGCCACAGCACCATCAGAGCCCATTTAGGATCTGGCTGCAATCAGCTGGCACCTCTTCAGCAGCCTCTCGAGCAGAACTCCATTTTGTTTGTGTGTTTTGTTGGCCACCACTGTGGGGCATTGCCAAGGATGCCTGGGTGTGTGGGAGGTATTCTCCCAGCTTAAGAAAGCAAGGAAAAAGATCAAAGCAGGTTTTGAAGAGCTCAAGTACACAGCTTTCCAGTTCCCATGGCTGTGCCTGACAGAGAAGGGATAACTGCAAACCTTCGTGCCCAAACTTCCCACCAGGGCCAGTAAACAAACACCATGCCAAAAGCAGGCACAGGACTGTGGATCCAACAAAATAAAAAGACTTTTTCAAACAAAGCCAAGTGGTTTGGGTGTGTCACATTATCAGCATGACCCTCAGAGCCCTAAATTCAGGCAACTCTCAAGTGCATTACAACAGTGTTCACCCATGCAACAAGAAAGAAACTTAACAAGAATTTAGGAAGGTTCTTTGGAAGCAAGGAGGATGTGCTTACACCTAGGACAGCTCCCATCTGTAACAAGAACTACAGTAATCAGAAATCCTGTCTGTAGCCCTTGGAGACAGACAGACTGCATCAGCTGAAGCACTGTGTCCTTTCTGAAAATACACTCTGGATTCAACAACCTTTTCATCTCGTCAAACATGCTTCAAGAAGGATTCTCATCTGGAAAATCTGCCACAAAGGCCCATTTTTGGGGATATGATTTCCATCTGCTACTTGAACCTCTTACCATGGCATAAATGGCCCTGGCTGGCATAATTCTGCAATAAATATACACAACTTACTGAAATCACACAGTCAGCCACTGGTTTCTTCAGAGCACTTTCTGAAGTCTCCTTCAGCTTGGCCAGCAGCATTCCTGTGATCTGTTCCACTGCAAACAGTCTCTCTTCATCCAGGTACCTCACCTGGAACAGAGAATTGGGATTCCGTGATCAATCATCCCAACCTTGCTCTCAAGATGTGCAACTTCATAACAATTATTATGAATTATTAATTCATAATAATGGATTATTATTCATAATGCTGAGCATTGAGACCCACTGAACACCAGGCTCTAGACACAAGTAACTCCCTTTCTATTGATCTGTGCTCCCTACAACAAATCTTCAACAGTTCAGTTTGGGGTTTTTCTTTTTCATTTTTTTTCTTTTTTTTTTGGGAAGCTTCACACCTCAGTTATCTCAAGGGACTATTCACAATGATACAGTATTTCTGCTCCTTGTGTATTTTGAAAAAGCATAAAAAAAAAAGAGCATAATGTAAGTAGGATCACATTGTGCTATAACACAGGCTAAAAATAAAAGTTTTGGAGCAATCCCAAGGAACATTTGCTTCCTGCAACAGTCACTCAAGCACAGGAGGCAGGGAAGGTGTAAACCAGGCAATTCCAACACTCCTGCCCTGCTCAGGAAATGTGGTTGAATCCTCAGCCTCCATGGGAGGTTCTGTGTCCTGAATTCCTAACCAGCTATCATCTCTCCAGCAATCCCAAGCACATTTAGTTTGGAAGCCAATTAAAGCTAACTTGTCCAAATTTCATATTCAGAGCATTATGTTGCTTTCCTGACACTTGGCCTCTGCATGTCTGATGGGAACTAATAATCTCACACTGTAATTACACAGATTTGAAGATAAATCTAGTAAGGCCAAGTGAAAAGCTAATGTGACTAAGGAAAATTATTATGATTGATAAGAAGCCTCAATGGACATTTTGGAGAAAGTACAGACTTATTAAGAGACACAGCAATTTTCTAAATTTCTAAATTTTCACATTTCTAAATTTCAGATTTTCTAAAGGAAAATGCAAGTGACCACAGAGGAAGTGAAGTGACAAGGGTCCAAAGTGCTCATCTCTAGCATCAGAGAGATTCCACCCAAAGCTCTCACTCACCTTTACTCCTACAGAGCCATTTGGCATCTTCTGAAGCTCATAGGGAAGTTTGGCCCTCTCAGCTTGGATGTAAGGATCTTCAAATGCTCTTCCATGCAGTTTTTTGAAGCCATGGACTGCATTTTTTACATTTGTGATGATCTGTGGCAAAGATACTTCCATTACCCATAACATCCTGCTAAAGAGGACTGTGCATAAAGGAATTTTTCATGTTGGGCTTAATGCACACACTGACCTGTGTCAAGCCCCACACATTCACTGAAAAGCAAAGTGTGAGGAGAGTGAAAGAATCATCTACTTTTTAATCTATGGCCCCTATTAGAAAAATTCACATGTACTTCTCTCTGTAATATCCATTAACTTGCTGCCATCAATTTTCACTGTACTTTTTATTTTAGAGGAGCTTTCTGATACAGCATAAAATATTTAAGATCCTATATTGTTGCAGTGGCTGCCTGCAGGAACTAATGAAGTTATTACCTACATTAACCTTAAATGAACCTTCAACAAATTAACACATTTCCCTTCCTTTAAAGTTCTCCTCTAATTCAGATCCCATCTGGAGGTAAAGCCTCCCCACACCTGTTCTCTCATCAGTGTTTTAACCTAGTCATTTTCAGGACAGCCTTTTAACCAAAGAAAGAACCAAAACAAACAAATCCCAGGGAACACAATACTTCAACCTATTACAGGACATTCTTCTCCAAGATCAACTTGTTTACAGGTCAAAAAAAGTTTTTGATCCATTTACCTGGCTCTTTGCTGCATTCCCAATGGCTCGGGTCTTGGATCCTAAAGATATACATGCTCTAAGCAAAAAAAAAAAAAAAAGGAATAAAATAAAATAAAATTCAGCTTTAAAAGAAAACATCATAAAATATTTCTGTGGTATTTTAGAACACCTACAAAAATTCAAGCAGCAGGACATGGATGTGTTAAATAACAGCATTACTGCATGAAGCACCAGAAGCTGAAGTGGAATTCTAGTTATTTTGTCCTTTGTAAATTAGCTTAGAAACAGCAAGCAACTGCAACTGTTGCCATTTTAACTGCATTTAAGGAATTCTGAGAAAGCTGAAACGTTCCACAGTTCTTATCACGAAGGAAAGGCACTGATAGTTCCTTCTGGCTCACAGGTTAAAACCTCAGAAGCCTGAGAGATCTCATCCAAACCCCTGAACTTTACCAGCCAGGATCTCTCAGCTCTACAACGCCTGAGTCTCACAGGGCCACATTCACACTCTCAAAGCCCTCAGCAACAACCCTAAGACAACAATTAAATCCCCACAAACCAAGGGAGCTGAACGAGCTGTGAAACGCTTCCAGAGCCCAGCACTACCAGGTCCCTCCTGCGAACGGGCACAGAGGGAGGGAGGGAGAGAGGGACCTGGGGACAGCTCCCTCGCAGGCACTGCTCTAATCCACAGCTCCCTGCAGCTTCCTGGCTACCAGGAACACCCCGGGATCAGCAAGGGCTGCCTCAAACCCCAGCCACCAGCTGGCCTCTCAGCACTGCCTTTGGAAATGTTCTGTTCTATTCTGGAAGGTACCAACACTGTTATCTTCACATCACCTGAAATACAACTCTGCCCCAAAAGGCAGATCTGGCCAGGACCATTCAGGAGGAACAGAGAAACTCGGATTTCACACAGCTCCAATGTAATTGTTTAATGCAGGCATAAAGGTCACTCCAGCACCCTGCTTCCCCTCCATCACTGAGGGCACTGCAATTTGGCAGGATTTTCTAGCAACTTCTTCTCTGTGACATCCAAAACCTTCACCAGATTTAACTGCTGCAAACACACGAGGCATTTCCCTACATTTTCAAAGAGGCAGCTCAGCTTGCACAAACAACTTTTACAATTCTACAGTTCCCCAATTCCTCCTTGTGATAATTAGGGGAAATCAGATAAACGAGCAATTTCCAAGGCAAGCAAATGATTTACAAACGAATGCTATTGCATCACACCTTTCCAGTGCAGGAATCTGCCTCTGCTCACAGCCAGCACAACTCCTGCCACGGGTCATTTCAATTAATTCCAGCACAGGGGGATGGATGGCTTTTCCCTCCTGCAGCTGGGAAGCAAAGATGCCAAAAAAATAAATGTGCCCTCCTAGGCTTCAAAAAATTCAGTCGTTTCCAAGATTCCTTATTACATCACCTTAATTACAGCATGTGATCACATTAATCACACCTGGTGTGAAGTAAGTTATGAGCTATCAGCAACGGCCTTGTTTTCCCACAAAACCACAGTGGGTGAGGCAGAGCACCTGAAAGGACCATTTGCCACGAGCTTAACGTGCCAGAAGCACTGGAAATGTGCTCAACAGCCCTGCTGAAGTTCCCAGGTCAGGAGAAATCAAGTGTCAGTTTTCCAAGAGATACAGGGCCAAAAGCCAGGAAATATCCAGGTTCTTGGCAGGATCTTTTCCCCTTCTTTCTAAAGTGCTTGTGCTAAAGCTTCAAGGATGATACATGGCTGTTGTGATGCTGGATTACAGAATGTAATTAACTAAAGCACCTGCATGATGTGAGCACCTCCATAGGAATAAGTTCATTTAAATAAGTCCACATTCAAATAAGTTCATTTACTGTGTTGCTGTGTGCAATAAGGGAAGTTCTGATGATTGAAGAATTAGATCTGTCTGCATCACTCGAATCCCACTTGAAGTAAAGATTTAGCTACTATGGGAAACTTACATAACAGTAATAACCTGTTACATTTCTATTTACCTTTGGTTGATTTCTTTTGAGACAGTAACACTAGAAAAAATGGTCTGCGAGGTCGCCTGTATTACCCCATTTTGAGATAGAAAAGGTCAATGAAAATCTCACTTAAAGTATGACAGGTACTGCCTTTAAGTGTATGTGCACCCCAGATGCTGTAATTGCTAAATTGAAACTCTTTCATAATCACTTTCCAAGTATCTTGAAAGTACAGTTAATCAGACATTAGTGTGAAAAACATCGAATGCAGGTAAGCCTAACTGCACAGAACACACCCCAAAAAGAGCTAAAAAACAGAAGTGCTCTTCATCACAAGGGAGAAGGAAACTGCAGCTGCCTGAGGATTCTCTGGGCAACAATTTCATGGGATACTTTGCATTTGAAAGGCCAGAGAATTTCAGTTCTCACTGCATATGTGGTGCACAAGGATAATTACTTCCTGAGAGCTCACATGAGAAGCATATTATTCTAAATAGCAAAAAGAATTTTCAAGAGTATTCCCATTAAAACAGACGGCATGCTCTTCGGCCATCAACTTCTTTGTACTTTTAAAAACCAACTTTTTAGAAAGCAAACCTACATTTCCCCGAGACCAGGGCAGCAGCGCTGAACTTACTACAGTCTCGCACAGCAGGAACAGCTTTCTCTGTTGGCTCCGAGCCCCTTTGTAAAAAGAGAAGCACCATCCAACCCCCGATTTTCCTGACTGTTACACGAATCCCTGAATCCTCCTTCAAAATTATGCACAGATGGAGCTCTAAAAAATCCTAGACGTATCCCATAGAAACAGAGGAGCAATATCTCCACCTACTCTTGCGTCTCCCATCATCACGGACGCTGCCCGGTGCCCCCCCCCCCCGTTCCCCGCCAGACCTCGCTATTCCAGGGCCGGCAGATGCGCTGCGAGCACGAACAGGTTCAAAGAAAGGGAACTCATCGCGCCGTGAATCAACCTCCTCCTCCTCCTCCTCCTCCTCAGTCTCGCCACCACTCGTGTAATTGCTAATGGGAACGCTCCCAGCCCTGGCAGCCGATCCGGAGCCGGGCAAACACGCTCACTCCAGGGGTATCCCTGGCTACCCGAGAGCCCTGCGAGGAGCGCACCGCCCCGGGCTCCTCCGGCGGCGCAGCGCGGGATTTCAAGGGCACGCCGGCACCGCCGGGAAACCGGCACGCACCCCGTACACCCCGCTGTTCCCGGCACACGCGTTCCCGGCAAGGCGCTCTCCGCCACCTCCCGGTTCTGCCGGCACCGCCGCGCCGGGGATCCCGCGGGGGGACGCCGGCGGGCGGGGCCCGGGCGCGCCGCTACTCACGGCGTGCAGCGGTCGCTGTACTCGTTGGCGATGGTCTCGATGCCGCCGCTCCGCGCCACGCCGATGTAGCAGTTGAGGAAGCCGAGGTCGATGCCCACCACGGACATGGCTGCGCCCGGCGCTGGCTCTGGCGCTGGGACCGGCACTGGGGCTCCGCGCCCGCCGCTCCCCCACTGCGGAGCGCCGGCACCAACCGGCAGCGGGCCCGCCGTGCGCAGGCGCCGCCGGCGGGGAGCCCGCCCGGCCCCGGCGCCGCCTCGGCTCTTTCCGGCAGGGCTCGGGCGGCGCTGCCCTTCCAGAAGGATCTGGAACGGGAGGGATGCGGGCGAACGGGGCGGGAGCGGCGCCGCCCAGAGCGGCAGAGCGTCAGCGCTGCACTGGGACCGCCCCGGCCGCCTTAAAGGCTCCGGGCAGCGCGGCTGGCTCGGGGCTGTGGGTGCCACACGGGCCGAGTTAATGAGATTATAACAATCCCCAGGAATTAGTGCAGAGCGGCCATGGGGCCATTGGCGCGGCCGCTCTGAGGAGCCGCCCGGAGGAGGGGACAGCCCCTCACGGAGAGCCCCAGAGGGCTGAGGTGCAGGGCGAGCCCTGCGCTGTGTGAAAAACGCGTGTTTTATGATTGGCTTTTCGCAAATATTAAAAGGAATAGCATATGTGTTATGTTAGGAAGTTATGCTGTATTAATTTTTTTATTGGCGCGGCCGCTCTGAGGAGCCGCCCTGAGGAGGGGACAGCCCCTCACGGAGAGCCCCAGAGGGCTGAGGTGCAGGGCGAGCCCTGCGCTGTGTGAAGAACGCGTGTTTTATGACTGGCTTTTCGCAAATATTAAAAGGAATAGCATATGTGTTATGTTAGGAAGTTATGCTGTATTAATTTTTTTATTGGCGCGGCCGCTCTGAGGGGCCGCCCTGAGGAGGGGACAGCCCCTCACGGAGAGCCCCAGAGGGCTGAGGTGTAGGGCGAGCCCTGTGCTGTGTGAAAAACGCGTGTTTTATTTTCGCAAATATTAAAAGGAATATCATATGTATCAAGATAGGAAGTTATGTTGTATTAATTTTTTAAAAAATCTCTTATCCGAAGAAACTAACTTCTTCCTGCCTCGCTCAGCCTTGAAGACGCCATTAGAATTAAGAGAAAGAAAGTGACACTGCCCAGACAGAATCCTGTGTTTGGATGGAATTTATGTATCATGTATGAGGTGTATGAATATGCAACAGGTTATTGTTTTTAAGGGTTAGTCCTCTGGTAATGTGTGTCCTTTTTCGGGCTTATTTTGCCCAGAAAGACGTACCCGGACCATCTGTAACTCTGTTTTTTATTGTCTCATATTATCCTAATCAAAATGGTTCCAATTTTTATTACTCTAATTCTATTACTATTTTTATAACCGTTTTATTACTATTAAACTTGTACAATTTTAAAACCAAGCGACTGGCGTTTTTCACAGGTGGAAGCTGTGTCTGCCACAGAGGTGGGCACAGCTCTGGGTGCCTCCTGGGCCAGGGCCAGGCAGAGTTTGGCCCCTCTGCTCCCTCAATTCCACCCATTGCCAACACCTTTGAAAGAGACATCCCCAGCTGGGCTTGGGCTCTATTTCCAGAAACAGCCCTGTCTGTTTTCTTTCCTTGGGGAAAAAAGTCAACAAGAACCCCAAGTTCTCTGCTTACCCCGCGTTTTGGGTAAGCAAAAATTTCAAAACATAAATATCTGATAGGCATCAGATATTTATGTTGTGAAACTCCACAAAATAAACCTGCAGGCTGCAAAAGTTCCCCAAGTATTTATTTGCTTCTAAAAATGACACTGTTTCACACAGCAATGTGACGTCTTTGTGACACAGGATGTGACACTGCATTGCACGGTTCTGTTCCACTGGAGAGATTAAAAATAAGCACAAAATGACTAAACTAGTTTAACATCCCTGTCAAGAGGCTTGATTATCTCTGCCATTTATCACAGTCTCAACGATCTCCTAAACAACCAGAATTTTCCTAATGAAAACACGTTCTTTTCCTCTAAAAGCTCCAGAGGCAAGAGTAACCACTGGTACACAGAATTATTTGTAACACAACTACTCCACCTGCCTTGATGATCTCATTTTTACTTGCTAGGATGAGGATCAGAAAGGCAAACCAGGTCCAGTCCCATCTACAGTAGCCAGGAAGGCAGATCCCCAACTCCAATTCCAATTCTGCTCTTTCCATCCCTGTTAGGAAAAAAGTGGTTCAAGGCATGGCAGCAGCACTTGAGGCTGACTCTGACTGAATAGAAGCCTCGGGGGCAAAGAGATTAAATGCAAATGCTCCTGTGTGCTTGTGCAACCCCAGCCAGCTGGTTTGAAGCTGCTCTGGGGAGCAGCAGACTTGTGCAAACACTCCTGACAGCCACCATAAAGTGCCAATGGACTTTTTTATTTGCTTTGTGCAGAGTTGGGGAGGAGAGCACAAGCAGGGTAAGCCAAACTCTTGGAGGCATTTCCTCAAAGTCATCTGTGTGCTTCAGTGTCACGCTGATGTCCAGCCTGTGAGCGTGAACAAAACTCACTCCAGCTTTACCTGAGCACAGCCCCCCTTCTCATCATGGACTGCCACTGGAGCAATCCTGGGACTGAGATTGCCCCAGTCTTTCCAGTTCTTGGCCTGTGGATCACCTCTGGTATTTTAGCAGCTAAAAAAACCCCCATTTCTACAAATTCCATGAGCCAAGGGTTTCATGTCAAACTTAATGGCTGGGGTGAAATCTTAGGAACAGTGCTGGGCTTAATTTCTGTGAAACAAGACATTTAAATGCCTCCTCAATGCTTCTGTTATCCTAAGTTATCAATACTCCACAAGGTTTGGTCTTTCCTCCTTGAAAATTACTACCTCAGAAATAAGAGTTTTCTCATTAATGTACATGCTAAGATGTATCCCCAATACTGAGAAGGATCCTCAGCCATTCTAAATTTTCTCAAGAAATGCTGTACTAAGTGTTCTAGGCCTCTATATGCTTGGCTTTTTCTATTTTTGGGATGTGTTTTGGCTTTAAATGCTGCCAGCCAGGTAAAAACCTTTTCAATGTTGTTTTAGTATGAGCAAAATGGAAACATTGAGAATTTCAAACAAGAAGCAAGTATGGATTTTCTTGGATTCCTTGGTCTTTCTGTAGTAAAGAACACTAAGGAACTTTTTTCTCCTAATGGATCACTCCAAGGGAGGATCTTTTGACCATTAAATATTTATCTGGTGTCACACTCTGTGTTAGCTGGTACCAATGGCTAAATTTAGAAAAGCTGTGATCCTTCTTCTGATGCTTTTTTTAAGCTCTACTGGGCAAGTAGAAGGCTTAGGAATTAAATGAGGTCACTCCCATCCTAAGGGTGCTCTGAATTCTTTCAGTGCTGTTAAAACTTGCACAGCTCATTTTTTTCCTTCTTTAGTAGGAGTGAAATAGTTTTTTTACCAAGTAGATTGCAGTTCATTAGTGATCAATAGAGTCCTCTAAAATATTTTAAGGGCTGTATTAGGAACTAGCACTGTTTTTTTTGTCTTCACTAGCAAAAACCATGCACACTTTTTTGGGAGAGACAAATCCAAATCCCTAGTTATATTGGAGAGAAAACACTTTTTAAAAATTAATACTGATTAAAATTCAAGTACATCTGAAATAAAATCCACTTGCAATGTCAAGGTGAGGTTCTAGGTCCTCCATAATGACAGAAAGACAATCTTATCTAATTCAGGCCACTGATACACACATATTAAATGCATGTTCACAATAAATATAAATGTTTATGTTCATCAATATAAATAACTGTCATAACCTAGCTAAAAAGCATTTAGCATATTTTGTTTTGGATCCACATGAATATACACAAATGAGAGGCTATTTGATAATGGTTGTTGCTGCTTAGCTGACAGAAACCAGTTTTGCTGAAAGCAGCAATTGTAGTTCCAGAGAGTTATCCTATCTGGAAAACACAGTCTTAACTGGAGAAATAACAGGTGATAGATTTAATTCAAGGCCTCCACCTGATCAGGATAAGCAGCATGGTAAGAAGTTGTTACAATCATACCAATCAGCTTCATTTGTACCTTCAGAACAACATGAATGAAACAAGGATCACTCACAAAATACATTTGTACACCCACAACACATATAAATCTTCTCATTCTCATATTTTGTGCTACTAAACCCATTACCTTACTCTAAATTATTATAATTTGTGTTTTTAGTAATCTTGATTGTTTTCTCTGTCCTAGTGGTAAGTTAATGACCAGAAGCAGAGGCAGTTCTTTGCAAAGCCTCAAGAGGCACAGCACTTTGAAATAAAACCAGCATGAACTGCAGGCCTGCTGCTCAGATAAAGCATAAAACACTGAAATTACCTTTAGTCTGAAAGGAAGACATCAATAGTACTTATGGGGTAAACTTCAAGGTTTGTGATATTTAGGACAGATTACCAGAGGTATGCAGGGCATTATGTAAGAATTTAAGAATCCCTGGTATTTTCTGAAATGACCTAAGCAATTTCTATGCCAACATTTATTCAGATTTTATTTTGACTTCCTGGAATACCAAGAGAGGAGATCCTTGAAACAAAACACTTGAGAACTAACAACTCCTGTTACCAGGTGGCAAAACTTCCTCAGGGATACAGGGAATAAACTCCTGCTTTCTCAAGAGCATTTTCATGGTTTTTTTAAGAATTACTTATTTGAAGATAATCTTCACAGCAAGAATTAGTATTATTAAATGTACTTCAAATGCTACTGAACAACCTGGTAAAATTATTCTATCCACAAACCTGCCCTACCCCAAATACCCAGCTCTGAGTAGGAAAAGGAAAACCAGTCCTAGTTTTCTACTAAAAGCTTTCACCAAGCTGTGAACTGAATATAATTCTACAAAACAAAGGTAGAAGCCAGTACAAGTTCGGTAAAATTCACATCAAATCCAGTAGATAAAAAAATGTAATTTTGATCGATTTCTGCTACTGTAGAATGGCTTGGCTCTTCAGCAATAGTCTGTCAGGCACAAATAACTGCAAATGGAAAAGCTGTTGCTAACAGCCTCATGAATTCTTAATAAATGTGATGATAAAGATTTAAAAGGTGTTCATTCCTGTGTGTAAAAGCCACCTTAGTGGTGTCCATAACATCCAAAACTGAAGGCCTGGTGCCCAACAATTCCCTGTACTGAACTACCCATTCCCTGCAGAGGCCAGGCAGCCCATCTGTATTTGTAATTTTAATAATCCAGTCCCCAGTTCCTGGAACTGTTGCTCAGCAGCACCTAATAGAAAAGATATTTATGCACATTGTTATGCATGCAGACACTCTGCTTTTCAGCACAGACTGCCTGCAGAGCTGAGCCACTTCAACAGAGGAGATCACTGCTTTGTCTCATTTCTACCAAAGCATAGAGACCTGGAGGGGTGAAGACAGGGTATTCAAACAGGTAGTGACTTCCATTTGCTGAAACACTTCCCAGCTCAAACAACTGCCATTCCAATGCTGCTGTCCTCCAGCAGAATCCTTATGGATCAAATTCTCTGCCCTTTCTCTGCCAAGATCTTTTTTTCTATGGAATACCAAGCTTTCACTTCCTCCCCACATATTCTTGCTCAGATCTATAAGAAACATTACTTGTTTCAGCTTTTCCCTATAGTGGAGCAAAAATTAAAAAACCTGTGTGGCAAAGATAAAAAAGTTAAAATTTTATGTGTGGGATTTTTAATCTGTTTTCCAGCTCTTGGGATTCTCTACAGGTGAAAACATGGCAGGCAATAAACCAACCTTTGAAGGAAGAACTCCAAACTGTGCACCTTCTTATAAAGGCATCACAAAATTATTAATTCAGCCCAAGTAAAAGGCACAGGGAACAACAGGTGAAGCAAAGCAGCCAATTCCTGGGATAACCTTGCACCGAAAAGAACCAGAGTTAAGTTGTCCACTGCAGGCAAATCAGGAAAGCCAACAGCCCCAGAGACAGCAGAGATTTCTTTCTGTACTGCAAACCCTTCCAGACATGCTTTTCAGGAAATTAATTTTACCTATTTGAATGAATGAAATATATCTAGAGACATAAACTACCCAGAAATCTCCAGTTGAGAAAATCTTCAGTTGATATTCTTGATACAGAACAAGGATGGTCATTCATTCTTTAAATGACACCCCATAACACCTTAAGTCAGGAAAAACCAAACTCCTCTGGTTTCTGCACCCAAAGTTGGCCAAATTCAGTTAAAATGTTTCCCTACAGAATCTAAACAAATGCAAAACTGACAGCTGTACTCAGCACTACTTCCAGAGAAATTTATTTCACTCTGCTTCATCCTCCCCCTTAAAGATTGTGCATTTCTTATTACTTTTATGCTTCTAATTGCACATTGGTAAATTTATAGGGAACAGGAAGGATTCTAATAGTACTGTGCATTGGTCTGCCTCTAGAATGAAGTAAATATAACACCTGGGGCACATTTTTAAAAATCTATTTCTTTGGTAAGGTAAAGCTGGCACCACCACTGCAGAGGTTTCACTGCCTTCCCCAGTAGGAGCAGCACCCTCTGGCAACTGAGCTGATCTCAGTGGATCTGGCTCCTGCTGCTCTGCCAGCAGCCAGGTTTGCCAGAATGCCCTTCCCAAACTGAAACACAAAGATTGCTGCATACACCTATGAAAACACAGCACTACCATATTAGAACACTGACCTTTGTACTAAATCAAACTTCAGAGCACCAAGAACAGGATCTATCCAAACCACTGTATTTACAAAATAATCAGGCAACATGGCAGTTTCAGAGCAATTCCTACAATGAGGTTTTTTTATCTTTTCACTGATACAAGTTGATCCCAGTAGGAGAAACATTTTACATAACTTTTTACAGCTCTGACATAGCTATGCTGCCTATAACTGCATCAGGGGCACATCTTGTACAGTAAATGCAGACCATGTGGATGTACCCAAAATCACTTGTTATTTACCAGTTTGAGAACAACTCTGCAGCTGTAGTATCCCATTTCCTGACCTGAACAGAACATCTAAGACAGCTTCCAAAGACCCTGAGCTTCAACAGTGGATATGGCACTTGGCTGAATATTGTACTCCTAAGGAAATTAATCTTGAGTGTTATTCATGGAATGTTTCTAAAATTTGAGTCTCGAGCTCACATACACATGTGAGCCATCTGGAAGCACTTCCAGGAGATGGAAGGGAGATTTTAAGAACTATAAACAGTATTATTTACACAATGCCCGTTTCACTTTTTTCCACTGGAAGTAAAGAAAGAAAACAACCTTAAAACTCTATATACAAAATGACTGTAATTGAAAAAGAACTGCTTAAGAGTTAGCATGTGATATCAGGAGATTAATCAAACTTCAGTGACGGACAGAATTCCTCCTGGTCAGCACTACCAGCAAAGCCTGGGGCAAGGAAATTTTCTGGCACTGTAGTAAAGAACTGTCAACAAGAGAAAACACAGAACACTGGATTTTTGTTTACATTATCAAAACCTAATCAAAGAAATCCTGAAAGAGATAACTTAAGACAGAGACAAATGAAGCAGATTTTCCATCTATTTTCACATTAAACAAACCAGATATGAATAATTTATTTTCCATTCTGCTGATATGAATGAATTTTATGCAATTTGCCAAATGCCAGTATCAACACTTCATATTCCAAGACCAAGATTCCTTGTCATTAATTCCACGGGTGTTGGCCTGTGTGCCTTTCAAGAATCCATGTGAATGGAGGGACATTTGCAGGCACCTCACAAAGTCATTAATAATTTAAGATCAAACCCAAATTTTATTGCTGTAACAATAGGCTACACAGGAAACCTGCCTCTTTCTACCACCACTCATTACCAGCCATGCTGAGGGAAAGAAGTGCACAGCTCTTGACCAGATCTATTTTATTTATTAAAAATTAATATACAAAAGATTATTTTTACCCGTTTTCCTTTATCCCCTTTGGACATAAAAATATGTTTGCATTTGTCCTTAAAAGCAACCTTTAGAGCCTGTGTTGGGAAATAGTGTGTCACATTTGCCAAACAGTGCCAGAGATGCTACAGAGAAAGAAATGGATTTTTAAAAACAACTAGAGATTTTGAAATTTCCAAAGTTTATACTTCACCAAGGATATTATACAATTATCTCTTCTATTTGGTATGAGCTGCAACAAAGGCCAACACTCTTCCTTTTCAGGTCCTTTCTTTTTCAAGCACTTCTTTTTGGAGAAATGGATTTATTTTGAAACTTAACAACAGCATATGAATTTGGTGTTAGCTCTAGAAGATCTCAAACTATGAGTGAAACATCAGTAATATGAGAAACAGTTCAGATTTTCAACTTCCTTACTTCAGCCATTTCTAGGGCTAGGAATGGCAATGGGAAGTGCAGGAGAGCAGAGTATTTACAGGGCTGTGCAGACATTGCTCTCCTGCAGCAGCCTCCCCGTGCATTTTGGCTGACAGAGAGGGTGCTCACACTCCATCTTAAAGCAATGCCTGACAGCTGATACAGGTATCAGACACTTGGTGGCACTTTTAGAATGACATTATTCTTCTAAATTCAAGAAAGGGTTCTCCAGGACATTAAGATAAACAGCTAAAAGCACTGCAGCAAGCTTCCTTTTCTCCACGTTCCTTCTTCCATCCACCAGGAAATGTAAGGCCCAAACCTCAGACATTTTAGACTTTTGAGAGGTGTAGCATCACTTGATTTATACACGGGGAACAGAGCTAACAGACTGCTGCTGTGATTTGCAGGCCTCAGACTGAAATACTGCTGCTCATCTGCTAGGAACCATAAATCCTGGAGAAAGCTGATTAGCCAAGTCCTCAATCACAGCTTGCACTTCAGGCCCAAGACTTCTGCTGCTTGGAACTGAAGCAAACTGTTGAGTGATGAAGACAAGCTGTGAATCACCCTGTGAGCACTGCAAGCATTTGATTGACTGTTTTAGGACTACCCCAAACCGTGTCATTTACTAGTGAGAGCAGGATCTAAACATTTGGCCATGAGAACCCATGGAATTGAATTTGCTTTCCTAAACAGTTAAAACTTTCTGATCCCGTGGTTTAAAATGCAATTCTAGTTATGCATTTTATGAAAAGCACTCATGAAAAACAATTAGAATAAAATAATAAAGCAAAAGGGAAAATACATTAAGTAAAAAAAAGAATAAAAAATTAATGCTTTACTGTTCTTGAACAAATATACATTTTTATTATGAAATTATGAATATAAAATAAGCCAAGTCCACGCACATCTTAAAACCACCCTGCCCGCCCCTCTTCTTTTTTTGTGTCTTCAAAATGGCATTTGAACAAATTTAAGCATTATTTATAGTTAAAACTCATGGAGTCAAGTAAAACATCAACCACACTACAGTCCTTGAAGTGTGCAGGAGAGCAAAAATAGTAAACCATCAGTTTTGTGAGGCTAAGTGCCAGGAATTGTCTAAAAGATTTGTCTCTGTTTTGATTAACACAATGCTACTGAAAACATTTAGGGTTTCTCAGGCCTTCAGAGGTGCAAAATTTTAAGTAACTGGGGAAATATTTTTTTCCTCTACCACCAATTTCTATGTTCATGGAGTACTTTGAAGATCAGCTTACCATTTTATGTTTCATATTGAACACTGAACAGCAGTGAACAAACAAAGGATCTGGCATTTTCATATAATAAAGTTATGACCAGCATAAAAAAAAAAGTGACAGCATATAAAAATAAGAACTTTGGTTCTCTGAAAATTAGCATTCAATTGATGAGCTCATCAGAAGCACCACTGAAGTTTTAACTGTGTCATACCACAAGGTATTTGATTTTTTTAAAGCATTTCAAAGATGCCCCATGGGTGGCACCCAAATTGAGTTCATTTCCCTTTATATGGGATATTTTAAAGAATGAATACCACCCTGCAGGATGCCTGAGTGTGCAGGAAGCTCAGCTATGCAGCTAAGCCAAAGGACAGTTTAAAGGCCAGCTCCACAGCAGCTTCTGTCACTGAGTCATGGAAACACACGTAACACTCCTGAGGTTTGGGATGGAGAATGAGTCTCCTGGGGAAGAAAAGAAAAGAAGAAAATCATCACAGGTGTTATTTGTTTTTTCTCCCCAAATGGTAGATTCTGGTTGTACTGCAAAGTTTCAGCAGGAAGTTAAAACAAGCTGCTGTGTAAGACAGTTGGCAAATTTTGGTGTCTGTCCTGTGTTACTTGACCTCTTTCAACACACTGGATTTTAAAATCAAGTTATTCTCTACTCAGTTTTTTTAAGGCTGTGTAGGGAAAAAACTCTTCAGGTTTTCAGGATCTTCTGGGTCTGCAGCAATCCAAGTCTGTGGGGTAGAAGCTGCAATCAAGGTCCTTGGGAGCAAGCCCCAGGATTCACATATTTACTAATTTTTAACTGTAGTAACATCTGGGTAGTTACATTCCCACATATTAATCCAATGAGCTCTCCTAGCGAAAGAGCTAAAATAGAGAAGCTGTTAATACCTGTGCATTGTAATTATTTTTAAAAGGTATCAACGGTAACATGAACATTTTTTCAATGTTTTCATTAAAGATTTTAATTTTTCCACACAAACAGCAGTTATGTACATTCATGTTGGAAACAATTATTTTTCTTCTTTCTCTTTAAACATTTTTCTTCCCAATGAAACAGCCTCTTTTATAATAGAACAGTAATTATAACTGTCACCTTATTTATGTCATTGACTCAGCAGCTATTAAAGGTGGAAATTCACATCAATGCAACCTCCCAGTCCCCTTAAATTAAAGCTACCTCAATCAGTCAGCTCAAGTATTTCTGTGATGTGCTAAATTTATTTTTAAAGAACACAATGGCCTAAGTCCAAATGAAAATCTGGAGGTGAAATTTGTCTTCAAACCTACCCCACAACCCAGTAGTTCATTGTTGGTGGTGGTTTCTTCTGGTCAGTCCAGTTTTCAGGAGAGCACTCAAACAGCAGTCCATGTTCTCTTACCAGCCCTGGGTCCTCAGCCGCCGTACTGAAATCTGCAATCCCACTGCCTGCCTTCTTTTTCTGTAAAACAGCTGGTGAAATGTTAGTAGAGAATGAGACATTTGGACATAAACACAGGCAAATACAAGCATGTGATTTGTTCAGGACTCTCTGATGGATGACTCTGCTGTCAAAAAGCCAGGCTTAGGAGATATAACTGATTTGCTCACATGATTCTTTTCTCCACAGTTTTGTTACTTGGGCATCAAAAGGCTTTTCCATTGTTACACGCCTTAGAATTAGACACATGCTCCCTTTTTTGACTTTTTTTTCCTTCTAGCTAAACACTGTTTTTCTAATAAGACATCTGAGTTACTCCAGCACTTTAAAAAGCGTGTTCCAACAGCTAAAGCTCTTATTTTTTTTCCTCTTGTGTGCCTCCCTAATTAAGAACCATGATAGTAAAAGTCTATTGAATAAACTTGGCCAGGCAGGAATTTCTTTTTGCAAATAAACAGCTGAAGCACTTTGCTCAGAGATTTTCTGACTCTTACTCAGTATGAGGGCATAAAAGCATAGAAAATAAAGACATTTTTGTGTCTTCTCAAGCTGTTAGAGCTGTGTTTTGAGAAAAACCTTTGAATAAACCTTGCAAAAGTTCCAGTTCGTCTCTGGATCTGCCAGTGAAACAATTGCTTCAAAGGTCAAAGAAAAGGTGTTTTTAGAAAACAACTCAAGGAACTTCTGTCTGCCATATGCAGACAGAGAAACCACACTGTTCAATCTGCCTACAACATTGAAGATGTAGGGACTGAAGATCTAGAAAATGTGCTCAAAACATCTTATTTAAGGGTTTAAGACCACTGAGCTTGTTTTTGCTAAACTTAAGATTTATTCAAGACCCTGTACACATTTTAAAAGTTAAATTGTGAATTTTGTGTTCTCAAAAATAGAGGAACAATTGATTATTGATCAGTTTACAGTAACTTTGCATTACTGGTGCAGCTATCTAGATCCCAAACTGTAACAATCCTTAGCAGATAACAAAGAACACACAGTATAATAGTACATTTCTATATTTCATTTTTTATCATGTACAATGAACAAGGCAAATTTCTATTTATTCTTTCACATTCTCCTTGTGCCATAATACAGCCTGCCAATTTCAGCATTAATTGCTAGAGCCAATCTGCAAAGACTACAGCAAATTTTGCTGAATGAGACATGTTCATCAGTTATTTCTGATGCCCAGTTTTTATGGCTTGAACTATAAAATGTCTATTTAATGGCTATAGCCAAAGGCAATTTGATGCTAAGAAATACTCTTTTTTTTTCTCTGCTTGCTTTTGGATTTCTATATCTCCCAACAGAAATGCCCAAAATACATGGCTCATTGCCGAAGTCCTACTCAGCCAAACCCCAGTGTCATGTGACCAATCCACCAAATTAACACTATTTTTAACACTTAAAAATTCCTAGAATTACAAGGCACATGGGTCTAGCCAGAAACAGAAAAGAGAGAGCCTCAGCGAAAACCAAAAACAATTCTTATCTCATTTGCTTCTCCTGTGTTTTGCTCGTGTGGAATGTGTTTGGAGATTGTTTCATTGGATTCTGCTGTGAGTTGTTTTCACACATTGGCCAATCAGTGCCAAGCTGTGTCAAGACTCAGAAATTACTTCTTCAGTAACATCAAAGAAACATTAAGAAAAACTATACTGCTATTTATAAACTTGCCTTAATTCAGTCTGTACTGTTATTTCCCCTTTTCTCACTTAACTCACTTGAATTGTCACTGTAGGATCTAAAAAATACAACTGACACTGTTCCACTTTGGTTTAGAGTCTGCAGACATGAAAATACAGCTGCTCGTGAACCACTGAAATAATGAAGTGAAAAGAACCTTGAAATACTGAATTGAGAATGTGATTGGACAAAGAAATCCAAATTTCCATACCTCTTTCTTCATGGACTGCTGGAAAATGGAGCGGATTGAAAGGCAGCACTGGTAGAAATTCTCAATTAACTGAGGGTGGATGGAGCCACCAAGCTGGGCTACTTCTTTGTGAGTTGGAGTAATAAAGATTCCTTGCATTGTCTCCAAAAACAGATAATGGAAGAGGGTGTTCTCAGGACCAGATGTCAACCTTAAAAATATTGGAGAAGTCATTTAATTCAAATAATTTGCAGCTTTTGTTTCTTAAGGCAGAATTGGTCTTCTAATCACAGTAGGGTACAAAAGGGATACAGGCATTCAAAGGTTTCTATCTTCACACCAAGGAAATCCTGCTGATTTTGACTGTAATACTCAATTTAAAAAAAGAACAAATTAAAAAAACTGTGCTGCTAGTTAGGCATTACCACATAAATTTGTGTTCTCAAAAACTGTCTCCAAAAAAGCAAAGTGAAATAAAAGCTTTGTTCATTGTACACCTACCTAGAGATAATATGGAGGCACAAGGTAACTACATGTGTGGTCCAGAAACTCCTGCTTGAAACTCCAAGGTCACACAGATGTGGGACAGGTGTGCACAATACTGACATATTCAGAAACAGCTGGTTTTTATTGTATTATTTCAAATTTTTATGTTTAATTAAGCTGTCAGTTTAACAGATTCACTTCTGATAATCTTTGCATGGCAAAGCTTTGGTTGGGATAAAATCACAAGGGGACTTTTGTGATCTGTGTATATTTAAAAACAATCTAAGCATGGCCTAAAAAAATGAAATACTCAATAGAAAATAGTTACTTACTTCATAGCATTAGGAAGTTCTGTATCTTTCTCTGAAGAGTTCTTTTTCAGGTTTCCTGAATGAAATGGGTTTGGCAGGGTGTGTTTTTTCCTAGTGGCCTGAAGAACAAGCAGATAGATGAAATAACAGAGAACACACACCTAAACAAAGACCAGAACCCAACCAAACCAATAGAAAGAAGAGGACAACGTAGCATTTTTAATAAGGCCCACTTATATCAATTTATATAAATGTATTTTATAGCCTATTTTAGACTAAACTTAGAAGCAGTCATACAATTGTACAGCAATTAGTTATGATAGGTTGTTTTGGGGTCATACAACTGTACAGAAATTAGTTGTGATAGGTTATTTTGGGGATAGTCTCCAATTACATCTGCTTTTTTTCAACACAGCTGTGCCCACTTCAGTCATGTGAAATGCCCAAATATTTACAAGCAAAGATAAAACAAAAAAGTGTGATGGCTCTGAGGCTGACTCAGTGCTTCCCAAGGCAACAGCATTATTTTATAGGGAATTCAGGGGACTTACTCTTTTATAGTGTGCCTTTTGTAAAAGGCACCTTGAGTTGGAATGGGCTGCCCTCTCCCCAAGCCCCCAGAAGCTGTTCAGTTCTGACCTGCTCCAGCAGAGGCTGTGGATTGGTGCTCTCCTCCTCGGCGGGCCCCTCGCTGCCCTGCTCAGCCGCCCCGCTGCTCCTCGGGGTGTGCAGAGTGTCCCCAAAGAGGCTCCTCTTGCTCCCTGCAGTGCTCCCAGCTTTGCAGGAGGAGCTCTGCAGCTTGCTCAGCATTGGGGAGGTGCTCAAGCTCTCCAGTCTGTCCCGTGCTGCAGGAAGGAACCAGTCAGCACAGGCTAAAGGTGGCATGGAGGGAGAATCCAGCCTTTCCTCGATGCTGGCCTCTATTCCTTCCAGCTGGAGAATGGTTGCTTTCACCTGGTCTACATAGATACAGTCTGGCCCTGGGTTCCCAATAGCTCTGGATGCACAGCCCCCTGCCTCCAGCAGGACACACAGGACAAAGTGTCTCTGTAAATATAAACAGAACAGACTGCTTACAAACTCATCAGCTGTTTGTGGCATTGACATTTTCTGGAAAAATCCCTTCGCCCAGGATTTTATTCCTGGGAAGCTGGGAAGCTCAGAGAAAAAGGAAAACAATAATTATCTCATTTGCTTCTCCTGTGTAGTGCTCATGTGGAATGTGTCTTTGGGGATTGTTTACCTACAGGTGATTTGTTTCATTGGATTCTGCTGTGAGTTGTTTTCACTCATTGGTCAATCGGTGCCAAGCTGTGTCAGGACTCTGGAGAGAGTCATGAATTTTCATTATCATCTTTTTAGCATTCTCTAAGTATCCTTTCTCTATTCTTTAGTTTAGTATAGTATAGTATTCTTTACTATAATATAGTATTGTAAAATAATAAATTAGCCTTCTGGGAACATGGAGTCAGATTCATCATTCCTGCCTTGGTCTGTGGGCAACACAAATACAATAGCTGTTTGCTTGAAACAAAGTCCACATTAGAAAACCAAATCCAGACATTTCTGATGTGAGCTGTCTGAAAAGACAAGAATATGAAGGTAGAAACATTTTCAACTGAAGTGAAATGGCATAAAAATAATGAGAATTTATATTAAGTTTTGCAAGCTTTGTAGATGTATAAATAATGCTGCTCCCTGGGAAATTCCATCCCATGAAACAGCTACAATTTGAGTATTTTGAAAAAATTACCCAACTATCAGAACAAGATGACCCCTGTGGCAGGGAGAAATGATGAGGAGAACTCCATCTTATCAGAAAGCTAACTAATTACTTTATTATACTGGATTATTCTATATTACATCTCCACTGAACCTGCCAAGCACTCAACTCCAACTGCCCAACATCTCGTGACTGTCAGCTGACAGTCCTGAAACACACAAACCTGGATTTAATTGGTCAGTGAATCAAAACACTCACACCACAATCCAATTACCAATTCTCTTCAGGTAAACAATCTTCCACAATGCATTCCACTTGTGAATAAACACAGGCACAGCAAATGAGAGAAGAATTGTTTTTGCTTTCTCTGAGGTTCAGAGAATGTGAAACCCAGAAATATTCTTGGGAGGAATCGTGCCATGCTTTTCTCTGTGAGGAGAAATGTGGTGACACCCAACAAAATGCACGGAAGTGTTGATCTAGTGAACAGACAGCTCCCAAGATCAAAAGAGAGGCTCACAGAATGGGCATGCTGCAGCATCAACTCACCAAGCCAACTATGAGTAAGAAGTATCTTGCTTCAGGTTCCCTGTATCCTGTGGAACTCGACTCCTCGCAGGGCTGCAGGTGATGCTGTGGGAACACCTCCCGCCAAATCACCAACTGCCCGATCCTCTGCTCTGCTGCCAGGGATAACAGGCAGTAGTGCTGGCAATAGAAACCCACATCAACGAGGTCTTCCTTGGGCAAGTGATTGCCAATCAAGTAACCCTTAATTCAACACAGAAAAGGAAGTGTGTTCAGTGAGGATACCATGCCACCACACAGCACTTCAGAGTACTTTTCATACAGAGATATCCCTGCTCCACATGCACTGAGCTCTTAAGGTTTCTGGCTACAGACTCTTTTTGGTGTACAGTTGTAACAACATTGAGCTTTTGGGCCAACTTCTAAATAATCAAAACACTAAACATAAGCAAATCAACCATCAGCATATATGTGAGTTATCAAAGGTGAGCTGGGCTTTCCCAGCTTGCAAAACAGCTACAGCATTAAGGTGCTCGAATTCTCATTTAATTCTCTCTCCAAAAATAGTGAGCTTTCACTCACTAATAAAATTATTAAATTTCATAAATTAAAAAAACCTTGGAATTAAGAAAATTTCCAAAGAAAATCCATAGTACAGTGATTCCCACTCCAAGGGCTTTACAGCTGAAGTGCTGTTATGGCAGATACTGTGCAGTTCCACTTCTCTCATGGCACTCCCAGCACAAAAAACAATTGCCTGATAAAATTCTTTAAATGCAAGTTTTCTTAAAGCAAAGGCTGTTACCTTCCTCTTTGTAGTGTTGACTACACTGTCTACATTTACCAAAGAGAAATAAAGTTATGAATGAGGCCAAAGTGAAAAAAGCTGTCAATACATTTTCTCAAGTCTTGGATTTAAAGACAGATTCAAGACAGAGCACCTGCTATTAAAACATAGGAATGAACAAGAGCTCCAATTAAAATATCCTACAATCTCAGTTGAACTGACTCTTACTACTTTCTTATTACTCCCTCTTTCCAATCCTTGTATTGTACACCAACAAATTCCAGTTTTAAAGAAGTATTTTTGTTCTTGCTGTTCACACAGTACATAGCATTTCCCAACACTGATTTTTTTCTGTTATGGTGTTTGAGCTTTAGGTCTGGCACTAGAAATACATGCTTAAATCAGTCATATATTCACTTCAGATTTATGAGATTCTGAAACATTAAATCAGATTTCTAGATACATTTTCCTAATCTTTAGGTCTTAATCATTAATATTACCTTGTAAAAGAGACAAGAGCCCAGGATCACATATAATCTTCTCATGTCATAATAATCTTCAGACTGTTGGGAGGGAAAAAGCATTGTGTAATTTTTAATTCTGCATTTATATTTTATTTAGCAAATGCAAGTGAACTAATTCTGGTCAACTGTAATCAATACTTTAATACTTTCATATTTGACCACATCTTATTACCAGTACAGCAGTTAATACTGAGCATTTCAGACAAATACCAAATTTTTAGCCTCCATTATTGAATTTTGTGTCAATACAATTTTCTCTAAAAACTTCAGTTTAAAATAACTAGTTTCTATTGAACTGTTATGTGTTCATAAACTATTTTTGGTAGGATATGTTCATTCTCACAGTTAACAGCAAAGTAACTTCAGCATAACTACTGACACCAGGGGCCCTCCTAGAGTAAAACAAGTCAAAGCATTTTTTCCAGTCATGGACATTTTACTCAGAATACTCCCATTCATTCATTCATCTTTTAATACCCAGTGCTCTCCCATTAGCAGCCCTGTTTTTAGATAGATAAACTGTATTTTAAATTAAGTAGGTGGAATCAATTTCTGTGCAATAAACTGTGACTTATAAACACTGATTTCTGTAAATAATCACCCAGCTTGGTCAGTGCAGGGATTCTTTAGAATTTTACACTAACTGTTCTGGAGCTCAAGACAGCTCTCTCATCACAAAGTATAGCTGAAATGTCAATGTGTTTACACTTTGCACAGCTAAGAGTTACATAAGTAAATTATATTATGATTACCTTCTGTAACAGTATTTAAGCAGAATTTGTAAACTGTAAATTTACAGAATTTTCTGTAAACTGAAAAATTAAATTCTGAGCCATAGATGTTTCCAAGTTTGTTCACAATTGCTTGGGAAGGAGACAGTTATTTACACAAAAAAGAAATGCAACAACAATCACCTCTGTGATTTTTGTAGACATCCCATGGATTTAAATTATATGAAGTCACAGATTTTCATTGACCAGTTCTATAGGATTCTAATATGTGATAATATTAAGCATGGAGAGAAACTCAGGATAAACTGCTTTGACTCCCATTTCATTAAAAGAAGTTGATGGATTTTGAAAATAGCTTTGCTTAAACCACTAAATATGACACCAAGGCAAGGAGATACTGTGCAAAGCAAACAAAACCAAGATGTTTACCAGCTCTGCAAAGTCAGCTGCTTCCAGATCACTCAGTGCTGTGTCAATTTCCATCTGAAATAGTAAAAAAAAAAACCCTTTTTAATAGAGATTTCCAACACATTAATTTCCAGTAGTAGCACATCTTGCTTGTCTCAGACTGGGATTCACAGGCACAAAGTGATTGGATAAAAATCCACATCTATTTTTTATTAGTAACATCAAATATCAAGAACACCTGGGAATACCAGAATTAAGAAAAATCCTTTCTAATTGCTGCCTATTTACCTGCTCTTTGAACTGTACCGTTTCTCTGCTTGTGTGCCTGCTGAGCCCAGAGTTGGTACAAAGGAGATGCCACCCTTACTTTCAGTGTGCTTTAAAACATGAGGGCTAAAGACAAACCTGGAACACTACTGCATCCAACTGAGTTTGCAGAAAAATCTTTTATCCAATGGATTTAAGTTTTTTGTCTCTATGAAGTTGCCAAAACTCTCTCACACATTATTTTTGTTCTATTGGAACTACTCGAAGCTTATTTCTGTAACTGCAGGAGCTGTTGGTTAAATCAAGTTTAACTATGTATACTTCTCTTGGTCCAAGGCACTGAAACTCATGACATAAATGTGCTACTTAATGAAAAGAACCTAAATCACATGGTTGCAAACTTCTTGAGCTGTGTTAACAGGCTGCTTCCAATTGAAATACAGCCAGTTTTTAAACAGAGGAATGTCAGCAAGCCTGTTGGCACTCAACAACTAATCATCCTCTCAGCTTTTCCCCAGTCAAAACTTAAATGGCTTTCTGCCTGGAGAACTGACATTTTTAGTTTTATATTCATTATAGAATAGAATAGCTCTTCACCAAAACTCTGACTGGAAATGTCATCTTCTGCAACAACAAAACTTTTCTGGCAAATGGGAATGATCTCAAAGAACTCTGGAAAGTGATGTCTGTATTCTAAGTATCAATGATGCTGTTTTCATAAGTCCTTTTAAAACTTATTATTTTATAAGAAAAAAGCAGCCTGCAAGCTGAAGTGGAGACCAATGCAAAACAGAGCCTCTTTACAGAAACTTGAGAAATAAGAAAAAAGCATGGAAAAACCCCAATGAACAAATTGTAAAAAAGCAGTAAAAAACCTAACGTGCAAGGTGGAAAGAACTAAATAATGATCTGTCTGTGACTAAAGATAAAGGAGGAGACAATTCTCCTTTAAAGGAGAAAAGGGAGAAAGCCACACTAGCAAAGAGAAATCTGTTTGGAAACAATGGCATGGACTAGCATATTTGAAACTGGAGTCACAGATGCTAAAGTAATGAAAGTGAGGTTTACAACTGGCAGCTAAAATGTTATTAATGTTATAATTATTATTATAATTTATATAATTATTAAATGATAAAATTATTTTATTATTTAATTATTAAAATACAATATTATGATTTATATAATTATTAAGTTATAATTAAAAATACAGTAATTTACTGTGATCTACCTTTTGTCTTACTACTGCTTAAAGCACAACTCAGTTTCTAACATGGAGGTAACGTGAAATTCACAGTGAAATGGTGCAGAAAAACTGTACCTGTCTAGCACCAACAAATGACATGTAGGTATTTATTTTGATTCTGCAACAGCCATTTATAACACTCCTAAATTATGAGAAGTACATGTGTCACCTTGATTTTTTTAAGCTTTTCTAAGCCTTCTGATGTTTATATTCTTGTAACAAACTTTCTCACACACTTTATGTAAATAACTTATTGTTTTGCATTATTTTATGGAGGAGGAGAAATTTGATAGACTGTTGGTTTGTCCAGTGTCATTGGAGAGGTGGCACTGTCACCCTCCAATCCACTGTCACTTTTGGAAATCTATAAACGTTGGAGTCAGAAATTAAAAAGTCCCTTTTACCTTACAAAGAGCAGTGTGTCTGCATCATGTTCTTTTGTGTCCTACAGTGACAGAAATGGGCTTCTAGAATAATATTTCCTGCCTGCCAAAATACTTCAATGGTGAAAATCAAACACAGAGCTACATACCAGGGGCTGCTTTCTCTACTCTTCCTAGGTAACTCTAAAGTCACCGAACTAGGCTCACAACAGCAATCCTGTGGGAATCTTGAATATTTTAGGAAAATGGACCATTCTAGGATGGGCAGAGCACTTAGGTCAATCAGTCAGGAAGAGCAGAAGACACCTGCACTGACTTTCTGGCCCGTCATGGCCACTTGTCCTGGAGAGATGTGAAAAGGACATGACCTTGACTTGCTGGGGCAGCGTCAGCCAGCGCAGCCCGGGGAGGCTGCCCGGGAGCAGGGCACTGCAGGGATCCTGGAGCTGGGCACTGGGGCTGCTGCCAGCCTGGAGCCTTGCAGGATGGAGAGCACGCTGGAAGAACAGGTTGAAAAAATGATCCAAGCGAGAAACATTTTCCACCTGGCAAAAAGCACTGGACAAACATGAACTTCAAGTTAGAATAACACTGAGAAATGTGCAGCTTGTTTATATAACCCTCAGTGATACACAAACTTCTTTACAGCATCATGCTACATTTGGATTTTTTTTAAACATGGAAAAAAATGGTTTTTTAATATGGAAAAAACCACTAGGCTGATATGCAGGCAGTACCTACAAAGAAACAAATTAAACCAGTATGGTGTTACCATAGAGCAGTGTCACTTAATTTAATTTAATTCCTGAGAAGCTGAGAGGCCTCAGAAACAATAGGTAAACAATAATTATCTGCTGCTCTGGAATGCAAGAGGTCCATCTCTGATTGGTCTCATGTGGTTGTTTTTAATTAATGGCCAATCACAGCCCAGCTGTCTCCGACTCTCTGGTCAAACACAAGATTTTATTATCATTACATTCTTTTCTTTGCTAGCCTTCTGATGAAATCCTTTCTTTTATTCTTTTAGTATAGTTTTAATATATCATTTTCTTTTAATATAATAGATATCATAAAATAATAAATCAGCCTTCTGAAACATGGAGTCAAGATTCTCATCTCTTCCCTCGTCCTGGGACCCCTGTGAACACCACCACAGAGCAGCTTAAGGTGTGTGAAACATCAGCCTCATCCTTTTGGAAACTGAGATTTGTTCTTTTTCCTTCACAATGGCATACACACATTAACCCTGAATTAAATGCAAGAATATGAGTAATCCACCTGGGCAATTTTATTTAGGTAACAGTCACACTGAAAGTCTCCTGGGTGATTTCCAAATGCAGAGAAAGACACTCACTCTGCCACATGGAGTCTGGCACTCCAGACACTCACTCTGGAGAAGTCCAGAGTGTTTACTCTGTTAAAAATGTAACACTGATACAGGTATGTTTCACAGACACAGAGGGTAACATTTGCAGAGTGCTGCTGACATCCACAGTGACTTGGATTATGGGAATGATTTAACCTGATCAAGGACAAAACTTCCTGAAGTGACAAAGCCTGCTTAAACACTACCTTACTAATGGTTAAGGCTGAAACCAAAAGGCAAGACCAACAGAATTCTTGTTTTTATACAAGTGTAAAGGAACATGCCAAGACATTCCCTGGAAACATGAGAATTAATCCTTATATTTGTCTTTTTCAGTGAGCACCAATGAAAAATGAGTGACTGAAAAGAAAATACTTCCGAAAGAACTCACCTGTCCAAAGAACTGTACATGAATGTCAAGGTCCTGACAACATTCTGAATCATGTTCCTTAGCTGATAAAGTGGCACACTGACAAATAAAAATTAAAACATCTTTATGATGAATGAGCCTCCTAGAATGTGTAAATATGTAATATTACTATTGTTATTCAGCAGTCTCTGCAAAGAACTTGAGTTTACCAAATCCTAGGGTATTACTGTTTTCTGACTTACAGATATTTCTGGGATCTTATTCTCTTCAGAGGAAATGAAAAAGAAATTACAACAATTGGATATATGAAAGATGTGGGTTAAGTCAATCAAAATAGTGAAATCAGACATAAAAACTAATTACAGTAAAAAGAGTACATTTTAAGCCTTTTCTTGCCTTTTTTGTTAGAGGAGTACACACAGTAAATTTGAGGACACAAAATTTCAAGGAAAACAAAACCTTTCCTTTGAAACTCACTTTTCTTCAGGAAGGCCAATTACGAGCAACTTGTCAGATTCTTTCCAGTAAACAACTTGAACCAGTTTTTCACATAAGAACAGGGAGGAACTAGAAAAATGAAACCAGAAGTCTTTCTGTTAACATTATGAAGTTATAAAGGAGTTGAAAATCATTTCAGTGAACTAAAAATCCTAGTCACTGCTACCCACTACAACAAAACTCCCCCAAATCAATTTACATCCAGGCTGAGCACTCCAACTTCAGGCATGCTGCTGTAGTTAAAGAGTTACTGCCTAAACAGGTTGAGTTGCTCTGGTTTGTCCAGAACTTGATGCATGAGCCATGTTTGCTGTACATGTATGTATAAAATAATAAAAAACAGTAATTACATTTCAAACACTTTTACCTGATAATCTCGGTACCAGTAACACTTTCCAGTATGTCAGACAGTGTGAGAAATATCCCTCTCACACTTTTCAGTTTTTGGGATGCTTCAGATATGGGGTACTGATAAATAATTTCTTGCTGTGAAGAAAGTTAGCTGTTAGTTAAGTAAACCAAAACCAAAACCCCTCCAAAAAATCCCCACAGAAAACAAGATCATGATCTTTTTATTGTGGTAACAATTGGGGTTTTTTAAACATGAGATCTTCTATCATATCCTTTTATAAGACATTGGAACCAGCATTGTGCTGCATGGGCATACTGGAAAGTTCTAAAAGGCACAGAAATGTTTCTACAGTTTGAAATTCTGTATTTTATAAAAAAGCCTGACTTATTTAGATTAATTATTACATGGAGAAATGTAAAATGACAAACAGCATGGCCACTGCAACTTACAGCTTTAAGTACACTGTAACACATCTGATGCCAAGAGAGGGAAAAAAAAAATATCTTTATTGGGAGGGTGCTGAGGTCCTCAAATTCTTTACTTGAGGTTGCCCAGAGAAGCTGTGGATGCCTCATCCCTGGAAGTGTCAGTGCCAGGCTGGATGGGGGTGGAACAGTCTGGTCCAGTGGAAGGTGTCCCTGCCCATGGCTGTAGGGTTGGAACTAGATGATCTTTAACACCCCTTCCAGCCAAACAATTCTGTCATTCTCTGATGCAAGTATTGGTACAGTTCTTTCAATGTTGAAATTCTGACTTAAACCATCATCAGACACAAAGCTCTTGAAAGCTAACATAGAATATGAAAATTCAAGTCTCTGTATAACCCTACCTGGCTGCTTTATGTGGATAGCATAAAACATAACTGGGGAATACGCTCAAATTTTAAAATACACCACTAAGATTTCTCATGAAACATCTGACCAGATACACTTGCACAAGTCATTTGAAACTAAACCTCTATAGAGATAAATATTTGTGAGCTATTTTTCTTTTTCTAACCCTTAAAAAAAAAATCATTCTTTCATTCAAGCACTTGCAAGAATTTTATATTATTTCAGCAGCTATAAAAATATAGGAATAAGCAAACATGATTGCCCCTCATTTATTGCTTTCTGCCAAATCATGATGGGCCATTATTTTTTTGCATCTTCTCCACTGCAAAGATTATAGTAAATTATCTTTGTCCACAAACAAATGAAACACTGGCATGATTTATCTCCCTGTTTATGTCACTAATCACATTTAGCCAGTGCCAACACTCATTATAAAATTTTCCTTGACTAAAAGAATGCAAAATTTCATTATAGAAGGACTTGACAAACTCTTCATTTATATCCAATTTAATTAACTCTATTTATAAATACTCATTAGTGACAAGGATCTTTTTTCTGCAATCAATCCCTCAGCTGGAGAAACCCTGCTGTTTTCTAATAGCAGCACTGCAAAGGGCTAGAAAGAGACTTTTTTCTTCCCCTCCCTCCATTATGAACTGGGGCCTTGACACAAAATTTGTTGGAGAACGACCTGAACGCATTCCCAGGGCAAGAAAAGCCAACTGTAACAACCAGGCAGAACTGTTATCATGTATGGATACAGTGATTCAGCAAAGGCCAGCACATGCCACCAGATCAGCTCTCTCCAAAGCAAGCCCAATGACAATGGAATTAATAAATACAAGCAGCTCATTTCTTAAGGTGTAAATCCTCCCCCAACCCAACCCCCAAACCTGGACAGAGTCTTCCAGTAACAGCAGAAGGAACATGAACATTATTCCTTTTAAGACATGCTATTGCCAAAATCAGGTCATAGACAAAGATGTGAGTGTTGCAGGCTGCTAGAAATAATGTATAATTGTAATAGCCACCTCAAACTAAAATATAACAAAGGCAGAATTGACCTCACTCACTGAGAAACTGTTACCATAGGGACACCCCCCACAGGCATACACACATCCCAAATGATTGCCAGTACCACTTCCCTGTAGAGCTGAGCAGACAGAGCTTACAAGTCTTAAAGCTCATTAATTCTATTTTAGGTGCCAAAAGCTCCCAAGTGGAATACTTAATTTCCAAGTTCCAGTTGCCACATTTTACACGGATGTGATCTGCATACTGTGCCTCCCCTGGATATGGGCAAGGCAGCTTCTTAAAGGATCATTACGTTTCTATTGGGCAGGATGGCTTTGGTGTACCATGACTTTATTTAAAGTACTGTTTAAACTAAATCTGGGACAGTACATCCACAGGATAGAAGCTGCCTGAAGTACAGAAAATTAAATTAAGGACAAATGCCTTAAAGAAGGTGGCATTCTTTTGCAAGGAAACGTTATAAAGAGCTTCATTACATCAGCAAAGCATCTCTCAGCATATTTGGGGCTTGCATAAGACTTCTCAGGAAACAATTATTCCATGTTGTGAAGGGACAACAAGGGCATTACAATCCCTCTTTTACCTCTGCTCAGTGTTCAGGATTAATCCATTTCTTGGGAGAATGTAAAGGAACAATGGGGCAAGAAACCAGCACTCAGTTTACTGTGAAGTGCAGAATTGCAATCAGGCTTTTACGTGTGTAAGAGAGGAGCCAGAGGCCCTGAATTTTTTTTTTATAATAAAGTTTAAAGTCTATGTTGTCAAGAAAACACTGGTCTTGGACTAGTACATATTATGGTATCATGTAATTTTCTAGGGTTCTCCTTCCCAGCCCTATCTCTAGAAAATGAAATTAAATCCTATTTTTATAACTGTAACACTTGTTCTCTATTATCCACCACCAAGAGAATGTAGATTTGTACCAGTTAAAAAATACTATTTAAAAAAAAGTAAAGGTATCTCAACCTAAGGATAAATTCCAAGGGCAAGAAAGCAAAATGTTTTCTTTCTGCTTCCCACTCCATCACTGTCCTGCCATCTTAGTCCCTGGGCACTGGAAAAACCTGTGCTTTGTTTGATGTCTCCTCAGCACAGATAATACAAGATCACTGAGACACAATGCTGAATTTTACAATTCACACAAAAGCAGAAGAGTTCTTTCCCAAATGTCTGTTCCTAAGAAGTGCCCTTTGTCCCCTTGGCATTTCCAGACTGGGCAAGAGGCCAAGCTCAGCTCTGTGTCCCTGCCTGGAGAGGAATATTTGTAGCTATGGCTACACCCTGAACAACTACACAAACCTACATGCACACTGGCAACATTTTCCCGAGGAACACAATAAGGAAAGAGTGAAAGGAAGCTTTACAGGATAAATAAAAGGTACTTCAGTGGCTCTAAAAGCTGCCCAAGGAAGAATCAGCAGCTGACTGCTACCAGCAGACATGCCAGAGCCCTCTAAGAAAAGGCACATTAGCATTTCAAAACAGGAGAGGCCAGACAGATGATGGATGTAGGCTGCCAATAGCTCCTGCAGGGGGATATTTTTTTGACCACCAGGCAGATCCTGGTGTTGAAAACCTCCAGGTGAGCATCACAGAGACAGCTTGGCACTGGGGAATGCACCTTGGAGTCACCACCTGGCTGCTCCTCACCGGAGTTCAAGGCCAGGCAGGAGTTTGTCAGCAGTGATGCTGGAATTTCACACCTTATTTCTACCAAAATGGCTATTTTACAGATTATTCCCAACTCCAAAGCATTAGGAAAATTTTTTATTTATCCTTTTACATCAAATGTCCTAGGAGCTGCTGTGGTCAGTGAGCTCAGAGTGATTGAGTCAAGCACATACCTCATCCTTGGATGTTTCAGAGTCCAGTTTGAGTGTGAGGAACATGACAATGTGAGGCACATCCTGCTGAGGCTCCAAAGTGTCCTCTCCCCACAGCAATCGAACCAGGTTGTTCATACTTGACTGTGTTTGTTTGTTCCTTTGCTCACAAGTCCCTTCAGGCTCAAATACCGAGGTCTCAAACGTCAGTTTAACCTATTAAGGTAATGAATGACTGTGAGAATGAGGCTGTACTTCCAATTTTACTTTTTACACTCTACTTCCAATGACTTTGCAGTAGCAGATGAAACAGATGGAGTTTGAGCACTTGAAGAGGTTAGGTTTTGTCAGCCTCAGCTTTACTGAGGAAGATGTAAGCAAACAAAATTCCTGCTGTTTCAAGAAAACCAATTATACATTCAGCATTACATAACCATCTATTACAAAGGACAAAGCCAGCTATTACATGGTCTATCAACCATGTGAGTAAGCATGTGGTTTGCTGTGTTTTCATACTTAATTCTTATGGTTTTGAGAATGGAAAAATATACTTACTGCTCTGGCTTTGACTGAGCACAAAAACCCATTACTGTGCCTTTGAAACACACACAGTATTTGACTTCTTTCAAAATGTCAGCAGTTTCCTAAGTACATATCCTGAAGGCTCTTTCTTGAGCATTTCTTGGCCATTTTGAGTGCACTGACACATTTGCACAGGGAAATCCATTTACATTTACACTGGACTGCAAAAGCCTGTTAAATTGTAATGGTAGCAATTCTTTCATTTTCAATATGTTAACTTTCCTTTTTTTTAACTGTAAAATCAGAAAATAAGAGTTTTGTTGCTGTATTTAACAATTTACACAACTACCAAGTAGCCTAAAAATTGCTTACATCCCTTACTGTGCTATGTCTCCAGAAGAAATAAGATCAGAACACAAACACAACATCCTCTCTTACACAAAATCCTTAAAGCTTAGATGATCAAGCTGATTTTGCCAAAAAATTATATGATGTTTACTGTCCCTTATTTCCCAAATAAGTTTAAATCCAGGCGTTTTAGAATAAATGAGTATTTCCTGACACACAAACAACATATAATCCAAACTTGATGTGGAAACGGTTCAAAATTCGCTATATAGACCTACTTTTTTAAGCCCTGACTTAGAAAAATTATGTTTGTTAGTTGTCTCAGCAGTGCTCAAAGTGATTTTTTTTCTTTTTTTGTGAATGAACACATTATCCTAAGTATGAAAGGAGGAGATGTGAGAAACACCTATCCCCTTGACTGAGCATAAAAATGCTAGTTCCAAGGAGAAGAAATTAATTTATGTTCTTGGATGAGACCTTATTTTTCATCAAAGTGACTAAAGACATATTTGCACTAAGTTGACATGCTCTCAGTTTCCTCTTTCACATGTTTTTACTCAAGACTCTTTATCTGCCTTGAAATACTATAACATGGCAAGTTCTGAACATAATACATCACAGCAAATCCTGCTTGTTAAAATCAGTGGCAACTTAGCCTGAGGACTGATGCAACAAAATCCATTTTTCTTTTCTCAATTGCAATAAATTTTGAGAAGCCCAAGCAGATAATTTATACATTTAAAGACAGATCATTTTGCAATTGTGTATGTATGTACACAAACTTCAGGAGAGGAGTGCCAGCAAGAAATAATGATGCTTTAAAACACCTACTGCCTGTCAGACTGGCTCAGAGAGAAGTGCCATCATCAGCTCTTACAGCTCCATTTGTCACCAGTTGCCATCTTCCACTTCACTCCCTCTCCCAACACTTCCCATTAAGTTTCCCCTCTCCTATTTGGGCTGCTAGCAGACTTTTTTCTCCTCCTCTTCCCCGGTACTGCAGTCAGTCCTGCACCACCTCCTCCTTTTCTGACACTAACTCATCCCTCACCCTCTGCTCACCAGTCCAGTTTGGATTCCTGACAAGGAATCAAGCTCTGCTGAGAAGCAGCTGCTTTCATAGACCCAGTAACTTGATAGCTGACAGTTTCAGAAGAGTGTGTTTTCTTCTCCAGCTTTCTGAGACTTGGTTCTGTTTCTCTGTCACGCCATCTACATATATTTCAGAATATTTCCTCAATACCCTGTCTAACTTCTTACAGATTTCCTTAAGGCTCAAGAGTTATTTCTCTCAACTTCTGCTGCATCTTGTCTCTGGACATTTAGTCATGACACTCAGGCTACAGTCTCTACATTAATGACACACAGATGTCATTCTTGCTGCAGTCTACCTTTTAGTCTCTCAATTAAAATAAAAACAAACTTAGTCTGTCTTAAGAGACACAACCATATGATCCTCCAGGGAAGAGCTCAAAACAAACTGGACTGAACAGAGCTTTTACTCTCTCTCCATCTGGAGTCATCCATGCTGCCTCCCACATCACTGTAATAGAAATGGACTAAAAGATTTTCTTTTTTTTTTTTTTTTTTTTTGTGGAGAAAAAATGAATCTTCATCCTGAGCAGTGCACAGGACCTGAATTAATATGACTGCTCAAGTCCCCTTTTGTAAGTACTGACTGGGAAACCTTCCACAGCTTGGATTCCATTTCTCCTGAGGAAAATCAGTTCAATGCACAACAGAAAACAGAAAAGAAAATGACACCAAGAATGAGAAAAGCATTAATATTCCACTCATATATCATGCTCACATTCTTAATATTTAGAACATTTCTCAAGAAGAATTTAATCAAATGGCAAGAAGGTGACAGGAACAGCAAACTGTGAGGGACATGGATCATCATTTTCTGCTTAGAAAAGGTGACAAAGTGAAGCATGACAGAGCTTTCCATAGCCATGGCAGGGTAAGGCACGAACAATTAACTTCTTCTCAGAACACAGGAACATGGGGTCTGACATGTACTTGGTTAGATGGCAATTTGAAAGCCAGTGATAATTAACACAATACAAAGCAGTCACATAAATCACTGCTCCAGAAAGCTGTGGAGGTCAAAGGAATTCTAAGAAACAAAGGAGAACATAGAAACCTTGAACTGATTTTACAAGTCCTTGCTGGAAGCTGGAAAGTAATGGTTGGAAGGTCACTCTGTATTTAATCTGCTTCTTAATACCATTATACATTTCTCAGTGTAGAAACAGAAAATGTAGCTGTTGTGCCACTGGTCTGCCCCAGAAAGGCATGGTTTCATCTGCAAGAAAGCTGCATGGCTTGGAAGATGGATTTCATTACACACAGAGCTGGGGGCATTGCCTGCCTTTTAAAGGCTGCCTGCTGCTTCCTGTTTCCAGTATCTGTTTGCCATGTGCTTATGGTCTGCACAACTGGAACCCAAAATTTCAGGCCGAAATTTCTGATTCTAGATGTCTGCCTCAGGCTGGATATTTTTAGAAAGCTTGGAGTAAAATGGTTCTGCAACTTCTGAGTATCAGAGTAAAGAAGAGTATATTCCTTCAGCACACCTTCTGTACCCTGTCTTGTGGTGCTAGGAAACAGCAACTATTTTGATTACAGAAATGTAAAAGAAAGGACTAATGTAGCATTTGGACTTCTACTACTCAGTAAACTAGGCCTTACAAGCCTAGATGTAGTTGCCCAAACTGAGGTAAGAAAAACAAAATTCTGGAAATAAAATAACGAGGTACATTATGTCACATAGTGCAACTGAATCTAGGTAGTGAAGTTTCTGAAATTAATTCCAGTATTTTTTAACATGAAACCAGAACAACAGGGACTTCACTTACAGAAATAACATATCTAAGTAAAAAAGTTTTAAACTGGATAATTTTTTTATATTCTACAAGGTAAAATGAATGAGAACACAGTAACAATTTTGCTTGTATTAGAACATGTCAGCTACAACAACCCTCTGCTCCTTCAGCAGCATGATTGCAGTGTACTGCATTGCAAAAAGCCCAGAAGTCTGTATTTAGATCTCCACTGGTCTATTCTAGCCACCACTTGTCTGGCTTGACTCAAGCTGCACAGTGGAAAAGGAATAATTGCACTTTAATGAAAGGATTTGGAAAGCCACCATGACCAACTGTTCCACATTTCAAGTAATCTCTGCCTGCTTGACAGATTTACTGACAGAGCAAACACTGACACTGCATCACCAGAACTGCTCTGTCAAGGGCTGCGCTGCCTTTGGAACGAGCAATACCCACACCCTCATCTAGAGAGGGTGCAATTACACCCACTGCATCATCCCTGCCTTTTCCACCATTCTGTATTTAATAACAGCTACAGCAACTCTCCAGTTGGTCACAGGTTTTTCTCCCATGGAGCTCTGCCAGTACCTGACCATGACTCCAGCAGCTCAGGGAAACTTCAGGCTGTCAGATATCTTGGAAAGCTTCCTGAACTGACATCCCCACTACTCAATCTCACTGCAACTGCAGATATATTTCCACAGGAACTTGCATATAGAGCTTTGTGCTCAAGAAAACATAAAATTTCCACTTTGAAAAATCTCTGGACTGTAAAATATGTCTATTATTATCATTACCTCGTATATTCTACCTAAAGGAAAAATTACCAAGAGACACTTTAATTTTTAACCTGCTCCTGCTCATAACTCATACACATAAAAGTTTCAACTTTTATCTTGTCTTCCTGTCCATCAGGAAGTGGTTTTCAGCAGAGTAACTCAAAATATTCCATTTTATGCTAGTAACATCCTAGTAAGTAACATTCCCCTGGCTTAGCTCTGAAATAGCTATCTAATTCTTGATGTCTTATTTAATTCTTCATTAGAGCTCCAAAATTATTCAGCTAGAAGAAAAGATATATGCAATAGGTTTAGGGGAAAGAAACATCATTCATCAGGTCAGATTTGTTGGAACTGGTTTTTTGGTATCAATTTTTGTTAATGACTTCTATCAGTTTCATCACTGTTGAGTTTTGAAAGCTCTTTGAAGTATTCAATCTAACATCTCTTAGAACCCCAAGAATTAATTTTTGTATTTAAATATTAAACCAGTATCAATTTCACCATTTAAATGCTCTTAAATGTTTTTAATAGCACTCCTTTTGTTAATTCAGGCTTGTTTTTACTCTTGTGGTTTGTGAGTCTTGTTTATATTGATGAAGATATAATTATTCTATTTAAGTATTTTCAGAGCAATTACTACCATTTTAAATACAGTAATTGGCAAAAAAATCCACTACTGTTTTGCTGACATGTTTATTTTTCAGCTAGACATCAGCCCCTACCTATTTTCACAGGATTTTCCTGATTCTGATTTTTATCAGAATTAAAGTCTGAAATTTTGACTCTGACTGAAGTCAAGCAATGCAGTCAAAAGATAACAAAAAAATTTTAAGAAAAAGACCACCTGAACTTTGTTTCCTCAGGGAAAAAAAAAAGCTAGAAGCAGTACTAACTTTTAGAGAGGATTTTTGGAATAAATGTTCAACTGTAGTGTATACTGTACCTGCATAGGACCTGGAATGCAAGACAAAACTCTCTCTATGTTTTCAGAATTCACATCGACATCATTTACAGCAACAAGAACATCTCCTGGGGGTGGAACAGACAAGAAATGAGAAATTCAGTTGCTACTGCTTCACAACACAGAGCAAAACAGTGTCTTATTTCAAAAATTAACATGCCATTCAAGCTGTCATAAATGTCCATTTGTTATATTTAAAGTAGTTTGCTACGTGCAACATTTACCACTTTTAGTCCTTTACCTCAGTGCTCCTAAGGCCTTATGGCCCCACTCACATCATGTGACAAAAATCATAGAAATATAGAGTAGTTTTGGTTGGAACCTTGAAGAACATCTAGTTCCAACCCCTTGCCACAGGCAGGGACACCTTCCACTACACCAGGTTGCTCCAAGTGCCATCCAACCTGGCCTAGAACACTTCCAAGGATGGGGCACCCACAGCTTCTCTGGGCAAACCTTTCCAGTGTCCCACCAGCCTCACAGTCAAGAATTTCTTTTCTCATACCCAGCCTAAATCTACTGTCAGTTCAAAGACATTCCCCCTTGTCCTGTCACGACATGTCCTTGCACAAAGTGTCTCCCCTTCCTTCCTGTACTCCCTCTCAGGTACTTCAAGGCCACAACTAGGTAACTGTGAAGCTTCTCCAGGTTGAACCATCCCAAATCTCTCAGCCCTTCCTTAGGAGAAGTGTTCCATCCCTCTGATCACCTTGGTGGCCCTCCTGTGTAACAACTCTCCAAGCCTCTCCCCTCCATCCAGGCTTGTTTCACTCTTGTTACCTGACCAGAAAAGAGCAAATTTCCCAATTTAGTCCTTTCTCTTCCTCTCCTGGCCCCTGCTGTGGGTTCTCCTCTCCATGTTTTTATCTGTCAGTTTTTCCTGCCTAAAGGCATCTTGTGTTTTCTACATCTTGCACCCTTACCATCACTGGAAATGGGGGGGGGGGGGGGGGGGGGGGAAACCCCTTAGGGTCCCAAAGACAAAGTCATTAACTGCAAGAGAAAAAGGTTTGAAAAATTAAAGGCACCACCTACAAAAGCAAACAGAACCAAATTATAACTTACAAACTTAAAATCCACATTCTAGTTTAAAGTACAAAAATCAAACTGGGATTTCTGAAGTGAAGGAAAATAGTCACAAGAAATATCCCAGTGGTAATTAATTGATAACCTAGGTCTCATCCCCCTCAAAAAGATGAATGCTAAAGCATGGAGTGTGCAAGAGGGATATGAGACCTGTGGAAAAGAAAACCAACTTGTGAAACTAGAAAAGTAAAATGACATCAAGAGCTAAAACTACATAGACCTGTCAAAAAGAATAGAAATTGGAAAGTAAAAATAAAAGGGTTTTTGGCCATTCATTTTTGGCCTTCCCTTGGAATGTAGGTGAGTGATCCCATCCAGAACACTCCTGACAGTCCTATTCACCTGTGCTGAAGAAAAAAGAAACCAAATGAGATCAGATAGACAGAAGTAATACAGTAGCAACCATGGGAAATTAAGAATCTCTTGGTTAAAGAAAAGGTGAGCAGAGCCTAGGTGAGAAAGCAGCTAGAGTGGAAATCAGAAGGTTCTGCAGACCCTAACCAGAGAATTTCTACAAAACTTTCCAATAAAGGTACTTAGAGCAAACTACCTAAGATGAGGCAACATAAATTTATGACACGAACTGTAAGAAGCAACTGCCAGTGGCACCAGGATTTGATGGTTCATTATTTCCTTCACAGAGGTAAATATTCAACTTTAGAGTAACAAAATAGGCCTTATTTTCTACTTGATTTTCTTTGGTGGCACTTGCAGTTGTCTCTGTTTTCTCTTGTGAAAAACTCTATTAGTTTCTAGCTTGTATCTTCTGTAAATAGGGAAATAAAGAAATTAGCTCCTTACTTAACACTGAAAGTGACCCAGCTCTTAAATGTGAACTAAAGAGCTCCTCTGAACAAGCAGATTGAAAACCAAGTTTCATTTTGCTTAAGGTGCACAAAGACTCCCCTACAAAGTACCTCCACATCCTCTGCAGGATTATTAACATGGTGTTCATCACTCAGGCAGTGGAAAGGGATTAGAAAAAGGATATGGATTTGCAGCAAAACTGCATACTTAGCATAGTTATATTTTAAGCCTTGACTTGGCAAGAAAGATGTCATCAAGTGCAGAAATAAAGCACTGTAAGGTTCAGTGTGCATTTCAATTCTCCAGGGAGAAGACTTGCTCAGCTCCAACTGACACAGTGCTAATGACATGCACACTATGGAAAAGCACAGCCTGAGTCTCTGAGGTCACTCCACTCTCTGAGAAGCTATTCAAGGCCACAGAATGCTCAAGTTCAGAAGAAGACTGGCAGTTACCATTATTTCTATGTTCTGCCTTGGTTTTAAATACTTGCAAATTGCAACTGGGATTTTTCCCAGGTACAAGGTCAAAATCTGATTGCTCAAAATCAGCAGTGATCAAAATCAAGGCCAACAAGAGACAGAACATTCTTCTTAACCATTAGTAAGGAAACACTGATTACCTCCAAAAATCAAGCAATATTCCTCTTTAATACACCAGGTAATCAGTTGCTCGCTCTTCTTTTACATTAAAGGGAAATGCATTCCTACTCCTGAATGCAAAACCAAGAAAAGGCTGTATTTTATTCTGCATATAAAAATGTTTCAAGTTTTTCTTTTTCAACAAATAGCTCTTTCCCTAACCTCTGTGCTTCTTGATGCACACCACAGTTAAGTTTTAGTCTGTCAAATCTTCAACACAACAGTAATTCAAAGACAGAAAAGCTGAAAGTTAAACAGCATTTAAAAGGAACTCAGTAAGTCCATGCCAGAGCCCCAGGACATGAAAATGAGTAATGAAAAGCAGAGCACTCAGGCTACTCTAATATAACAAGAATTATAAACAGGATTACTATGTTCTTTGCTAAGAACACTGTATTACAGATCATTACACACAACTACAAGAGAAAGCATAAATTGCTCTTGTACTCATCTTAAACTCATCTGCTTAAACAAAAGTTGTTTGTGTTCTGTTTGTTTGACTGGATCTTTAGGAATTCTGTTGTAGAGCCATTCAGAGGAACTGCACACACTTTGTAAAACCATCCACACCTCAGCACTTGAGGGAATGTTTTGGAACCACCAGGGTGGAATAGACAAAGACACTTGGAAAGGAGAAGAGCCATCAGTATTTACATGTTACACACTCCAAGGGTTTTATTTATTCAATGCCTAATGTACACATGTAAAACTTTCATTGCAGCAGTAAATATTTATTCCATCCAATTGGTAAAAATGTAATCATGGACCATACATGGAACAGCTTTGCAGAGCACACAGCCCAAGCAGCTCTGTAAGGCTGCCTTCCTTCCGCCAGAAAATGCTGTATCAAAGAAAAGCAACTTGATATACGACAGAAAATCTTGACTGATTAGTGTGGATTTTCCAGAATTGGGGGTGGAGGCAGTGAGGGTGGGTGGTTGCATTTTTTGCTACTTTTCTTTTTGCCACATCCAACAGCAGTCAAAGAATAGAGACTATGAAGTATCAGAATAAATAAAATCACTGGGCAAAGGATGAGCTGCGTAAAATTATGAACCCAGAGTAGTCTTAAAGCAGGACATGACCACAGGATCTACTCAGTGTGATAATTAACTGCAGTGAAAGAGTTAATACAAGTTGTACTTTGTAAGAGCTTGACATCTACATTTTATTTGAGAATTGTTTCTTGCCCTTTAGCAGCATGAAAAATTTACAGAAAGACATAATTAATGTCTGAAGACCTGAATCAGTCTGTCAAAAAATTAATGCAATTGTATTAAGTTTAATCTAATTTCACTTACCTAATGCTTAAATAATTCATGTTAAGTGAAATCAAAGTGTATATATAATATATACAAAATAAACAGCTTTTGCAATTGTTTAAGTTGGTCTAACTCAATGGCCTGCAGATTTAAGTGAAACCATCCCAATCTAAAACATCACTGAACTAAAAATATAGGGAGAAAGATCAGAACAAAGTATCACTCAATTCTACTGCAACAGAGGAATTTTCTTCAGGCAGCTCCTGGATATCCTTGCTTAAGTCAACAAATGTATCTTTAGAAAAACAACAAGTCCTTCTGGAAGAAAATAGTCTAGATTACATGTTAGGAAGAGATTGTTCCCTGGGAGGGTGCTGAGGCCCTGGCACAGCTTGCCCAGCAGAGCTGTGGCTGCCCCATCCCTGGCAGTGTCCAAGGCCAGGCTGGATGGGTATGCTGTGGGGAAAGGACTGGATGACCTTCAGGGACCCTTCCAACCCAAACTGTTCTATGATTCCATGAGACTTTTTAAGGAAAGAAGTAAGCTTTACTTAAATGTCATAATAATGAATGATCAAGCTTTTCAGGGCTGTCACTTCCTGTGGAAAGATTCTCAGTTCACAAAGCAACTGTAAGACATCCATGCATGTTCTCTAGACAATGTTAAGCAGGGCTGAACTTTACTTGAGTGATGAAACAGAATTCTCTCTATTTTATTTGCTCTCATCAGAAGAGACTTCTCCCATCCAGTCAGCAGCAACTAAGACCAGTGTGTGTTGATCTCAACCACCCAGTCTGCACACAGCTGCTGGAATTACTCCTGCCTCTTCAAGGACAGAGTTTAGCAAAGTCTTTGGCACTGCTGACATCCCTAGAATGTTTATTTCAGAGCTGCCTATCTCTTTGCCACTTGAGGCACAAGATTATGACTTCTGTTAACCATTTCTTGCCTAGAGATAAACCTGCAAGCACCATTTCTAAAAGTAGATCCCTACTGGATTAAGCCCAGGGACACCAACTGGCAAGTGAGCACCACTTCCATACCGTGATGGGAAGGGCACATTTGTTTTCTGATATCGTGAAAACCAAATTGTCCCCATGGGAGAGGATGAAGGACACTTTTGTCACGGAATCCTGATATTTAGTTTTCTCCATTCTTGGTAATGAGTTGGTGGGAGCATTCAGCAAAGTTCCCATGTGCCTTTCCAAAAAAGGCAAACTATGGAATGCATTCCTACTGAAGAAAGGCAGATCAATTACTTGTTTTATATGTTAGCAGGCTGCTTTCATCCAAACCAGTGCTGCTGTGCCTCAAGAGGAGAGTAAAAGAATAAAAGCCACATCCCAAATGCCACAGTGAGAACACAGCAAAGCTCACACAAACTCTGCTTCCATCCTGTGAGCCCAACATCTCTACTCTGGAGAGTCTTTTCAAGAAATACACCATGTATGGTAATGCCACATAAAAATCACAAACTGTCCCAGTATTTTGGTCCTTTTAAGGGCTTTTTTTCCTGACAGGACTCTAAGCATATAGACCTTTCAAGTGAAATTTGCAATAGCAGCTGTAGCTTTTGCATACATGTTCAAAACTGGATTATTATAGCCCATCTTTACTATCAAACACAATTACTTCTTGTCAGTGGGGAGTTTGCACAATTTTTTGACAATTGTACATGCTGATAAAGTATCATACTGAGAAGATTCATGCTGAGCCATTTGGCTATGAGAGCAGTAAGATACTTTCAAAGAGGATAACAACAGTATGCTTTGTTAGTGAAAAGAGCTTTGCTGTATTTTCAGTGTCATTGAAATGAATTAATTTTACTATGATAAAGATGATGCTCATCAACATTTAAAAGAACTTTTCCCCAGCATGAATCCAACAAGTTTCAATTTGAAGGAGGGTGGGAACCAAATTATAATGGTATTACCTATCACAACCCTTTTTTGTGAGAATCTAAATGTGAGTATTTTGAGTTTTTCCTCTTGGAAGATATGCTCAAAGTTTTCCACAGCAGACCAAACTCTGCATAATGTTGCAAATTAACTGAAGCAAGGAAAATGTTTTCCCAAAGCTACAAAAGACACTTAAAAAGCACAAGATAGAAGCAACTGTATTTCTTCTTAACCAAAATGAAAGTGGCAGCAAGTTTAAAAATCAATGAGGGCTTTCCTGTTTTGAAAATTTAAGATGGATGCTGGCCTGCTAAATGTAAAAAAAAAAAAAAAAATAAAGGAACTGATAAACAACACATGGATAGAGTGCCATCTTCTTAGAGTTACAAAGCAGCAGGGTTTTTTAGCTTGCAAAACTGTTGTGTTTACTTTCATATGGTCAGTGCCTGCATTCCACTTGGTTAATAAAGCACAGCAACAAGACTTACGACTTCCATATGCAACCTTAAAACCAAAAATTCAAGTGTATTGAGCAAATAATAAACAGATGTTTGAAGTGTTCAAAGCCATAAAAGACACACATTTCAAAACAAATAGGGGGAAGCCACCTGAGGAAAGTGATTATTAAGGATGGAAAAAGAAGTTACTTCTACTAAAAATGCTGAAGCATAAACCACTTTGTGAGTCAAAATGAGTGCTGCAAATTCTCACCAGAAAGACAACCAGAGGGCATTTTAAAGCATGCATTTTAAAAGGAAAATATAATTTGGATTTGCCTCACAAAAGACTACTGCCCAGCTGGTCTGGACCACTGAAATGTTATAAAGCTAAACAAGAACAGGTTAATGTTTGTACACATACAGGTCAATGGATACAAACAAAGTTATAAGCAGAGCAGGCAGCAGGCACCATGCTGGGCTGATCAGGTATTCCTCCTTTTTGATTACCTAAGAAGCTGCTCACTTTGTGCTAATTCTTCAGCTTTATACTGACCACAAAAACATCCTTTACTGGCTGTTTCCACAATTCCTCACACAACTCCTAAAACCTGCTTTGATCAAGAACAACTGAAAGGCAAAGTTCTGCTGTTATTGTTCTTGAACTTTCTGCCCAACTCCAGCTGCTGTGATGATCTGAGGAGCTAGCTATTGAACTCTAGTTGCTTCTAAATCAGGCTTTAGGAGTACACCACAGCTATCCCATCCTGTGATGTGCAGTACAAAAGCAGTAAACCCAACAGATTTTTGACAAGAACAGCATTTTTTTTACTGTATATTCTTTATGCAGACAAGACTGAAATCTGAGCATCTAATTTATGCAAAGCATTCTTATTTCTAGACACCACATAAAAATTCCAGAGTTCTCAGCTTCACTACAGATATATAATTTGAAAGTATTTTTATATGAAAATTATATATTTTCCACTGTTGGCACTGAACACAGCTCATTTTCCCAGTTAAGAGCTGAATAACCCCAGTATGCTCAAAACTATTTCATTTCTGAAGTGCAAAAAAAGGGTTGATGATAGCTTGGGACATAATAAAGTGCAAGACTCCTCTTAGATGAAGTTAAATGCTCTCCTATTTGAAACAAACAAAAAACCCCCACAGTTTTTGTCCCCACTAGCTCTGGGAAGCATTAAGTGCAGCAGATGAAACACTGTCTCTGGTTAGGTCACCTTCATCTCCTGGATCTGGTACTTGCCTACACTGTTGAGACTTCACACCTGCCCTCACAAAAATGTTATATACAAATCTGTGTCCCCAAATCAACTTACAGGTTACAAACACCCACTCTTAGACTAATTAGATTAAACACCCTTAAGCAGATCAAGTGGAAATTCGCTCTCTCCTCCCCCACATCCCCTACTTCTTGACTAATCAGTTCTTGCTGGTAAAATTTGGAAGTTATGCAATTTTTCCTCTGGAGTATTCTTCAGCATCTCTACCAAAAACTCATGCTGGAGCAATCAGCCAGTTGAAACACTGATGTGCCTTTTTACCCACACAACACTGGAATTTCAAAAGAGCTCATACTGACTTTGAGGGATTTGTGCTATTTATATGTTGTCTTATATATCTAGAGTTCTATTATCATTATAGTACAAGGGTGTTGTCTTATACATCAAGGGTTTTCTTACCATTATAGTGCAAGGAATCCATATCACCAGAATTTCATACCTCCTCCATGTTTCTCACAGGCAGCTCCTCTGAGCACTGCCTGCTCCTAGCCCTTGCAGCAGCCAACTGACTCCAGCTCCCACCAATCCACTCTTTTATACCACTGCTCTTATTGGCTACAGGTGTGGCTCCAGCTCCCACCAATCCACTCTTTTATACCACTGCTCTTATTGGCTACAGGTGTGGCTCCAGCTCCCACCAATCCACTCTTTTATACCACTGCTCTTATTGGCTACAGGTGTGGCTCCAGCTCCCACCAATCCACTCTTTTATACCACTGCTCTTATTGGCTACAGGTGTGGCTCCAGAGCCCACCAATCCACTCTTTTATACCACTGCTCTTATTGGCTACAGGTGTGGCTCCAGAGCCCACCAATCCACTCTTTTATACCACGGCTCTTATTGGCTACAGGTGTGGCCTGTTAACATCAGGCCTGCTCCTGATCTTTAGTAATTGGTTCAGCTGCAACTCTTTAGGGGAAAAGATTACATTCTATACCACCTTTATTTACCCATACTGTATCCCCCTACACTTACAGCATTAAGATTTTTAATGATCTTCTAACCAACCTCACATCTTTGCTCTCCCACTCTGGGAGCAACCATCTTCAAGGGTAATTAAATAATCTTTCACCCTTTACAGATGTGGCCTGGTTGTCTCACATTCACTGTCTCTGAGGTTGATGTCCCGTGCGTGCCAAGGTTTGAGTGGCCTCAGTGCTGGGAGTGGGAGTATTTCTGCTCCCTCATTACCCCTGACAGCAGTTTAGTGCCCTCCATCATTCACATTTGGGTGCCTGTCAGACCTTCTGTGACCCAAGTTTAACTTACTGCACTAGCAAAATACTAGACAGCCAATTTCTCTTCTGGGTTAGTTTCCTGCCAGCTTATTTCATCAGCTCATGGAAGTGCCCGAGCTGCCAAACCACCACAAAGGCTGTACTGGCTCACTGCCTCCCCAAACTGCAGCCCTGCCATGCATTTGGAGCCTCCCAAAGTCACAACTGCTGAGGAAGCTGCTGTTGGACTTGCTAAACAGAAAAATAACCAAACAAGGCTGTGGAGAAAGTTTGTAATGTAAGAATGTATCTTACTCAGTATTTCTCCCCTCATTTTTATGATACAAAATCCATTTAAAGCATATATAAGCAAAGCTTTTTATCTAAGGGGGATCCTGTGGAGGAGAAGGAAATCTAAATACAGTGTCTGCCAGACTATAGGTTTGCTCCAGTCCCACTTATCTACTGAGCAAATCCTCAGCTAAAATCCTAAGTCAAAGGCGGGGTATTTGTTGCTCCAAGCTGCTCAGTCTCTGAACACTGAGGGATGCTCTTGCCTTACTGCATTTACACCTTTTAGGTTATGCCACATGTTCTAAGAATCAGCAACACAGTAAAACTGATTGGGTACCAAACCATCAGATGCAATGACACTGACTTAAAACAAGCCCTCCAGAACTGATGTAATTGCTTACGTCTCAAGAATATTCAAGTCAGCTGCCTCTAACAGCAAAAACCCCACAAATCTTCATATTAAAGGAAGAGTGCAGAAGTTGGCTATTCCTTCAGTTACTCACCAATCAGGATTTGACCTGTTTTCATTGCAGAACTACCTGGCACCAAGCCATGTACCACAAGCTTCTCTTCACTGACTCCTCTGGTGCCTTTATCCTTCCTGCCTTGTTTTTCCACTCTTCTGCTGCTCCATGAAGACTGATGGACAATCCCTACTAAGGCTTCCAGCAGCCTCTGCTGCTCTTCTTCCCCAGCACTGTAGAGTTTTCTGGGATTTACATAAACAGACACATCTTTGTACTTTTGCTGAACGGTGACATCCACTTTCTGAGCAGAGCGGTGCTTCAATATGGAAGTAGGACCAGAGGGGTGCTCATTGCAGCTTCCACTGCCCTTCTTACCAGAACTCTTTGGTAAAAGACTCTTCTTTTTTAACATTTTGGTCCATTTCTTCAGTTCATACTTCCTTTCCTTTCGTGATCCCTCTTGAATGATTTCAGCTTCGTTTTCCCGAAATCTGACATGATTCACTGCTGGCACTTCTGGACAGCTGTTCTGAAGCAGAACTTCTTCTTCACTTTCACTTAATTCTAAATAAAATAATTCTCCATTTTTCTGCACACTGTCCAACCACTCAGGCTCAAGGTCACTGGAAAAGAAAGAAGAATGATCAATGAGTTCTGATAAGGAAGATCACTGTGCAAGTGAGATCTGATTATTTTAAGTAGGGAGGGGACAGAGAGAGTGCAAGGGTTGAATAAAAAGTAGGAAAAAAACTAGTTGTCTCCTGAACATTGATAGCTCAACTGCTTTAAGTCTGCCACAAGGTTTAGAGCTTGTTTTAGGTAAATGATGGATATGGCAAGGAGAGACATCCCTCTCACCAGTAAAATAGTTTCTTCAAATTTCTTCTGTTTTTCTTAGAGGAAAACAGCCATTGCAAAAAGCAGTGTTCTCTTTTCAGAAAACAAACATTTCTTTGACATGCAAGTTTTAATTAGTAATTACATTCATGTGCATGATGAGATTTTCTCTTAAGGGAAAAAATTCCATTCTGTTTGTTCTCTCCTATTATTTTTTCCTTTTTAAGCATTTGTAATATAATCATGGCACGATTTTTTGAGGTGGTCCTGTGCAGAGCCTGAAGATGGACTTGTTTATCCTTGTGGGCTCCTTTTAACTCAGGATATTCTGTAATGCTATGGGAACACAGATTGCACTGCCAGCCCTTTGGAAAGAGAAGATAAACCTTTTAAAAATCACTTAGATTTAACATTAAAATAAACCCCAAAACAATCTAAGATGAAATCTAGGTAACAGTTTTTAAAACTCAAGTTCCAAATAGCGTCTGCAAAAATATGCACTAAATATGCAAAGAGGCAGCACTGCTACAGAAACAGATCTGGCAGCTGGTGTGGATCACCCAAAGGCAAGAGCAAGACACTTCTGCAAAGCAGCTCTAGGATATAACAGAAACATCAGCAGCACAGTGCAAAAAAAATTTTGTCCTAATTTGGCAACAGTGATGTGTCAGCCACGTCCAGTTTTGGATAGTAGGTTTTAAGAAAGATGTAATAACTGGAACAGACCCAGAACAAAGAGACAAATGCTATGTAGCCTATAAACACATTTAAATGGAAGAGACTGAAGGAAATCATACTCTTTTGGCTGAGGAAAAAGAAAAACCAACCAAAAACTGCCTGCAGAGGGGCAACAGACCAAATGAACCTTGAGGTAAACCATGAAGCTCCAGATAGATGAGAATCCATGATGGCCAAAGTAAGAAAAGTACTCAGAGGTTTAATTATCTGGGATGTTCTGCATGGAAGATTTTCAGGAACAGACAAGACCAGTTAATTCTTCCTAACCAGATGAGAAAGAGGTCTCTCTCTTTCATAAAAAGCATATAAAGAAAAATGAGACTGGAGATTTACATCATAATTAATAAAATAAAGTTAACACACATTCCTACATTTTACACTAGAACTACTTTTACTGAATAAAGAGTACAAATCTGGTTTAAAGCTAGCAATAAATATTCAAATAGAGCATTAATTTGAAAACACAGATAAATGACAAAAGTTTAGCTGAATGGAGAACATTATACAGACATTGCACCAGAGTACCTTTAAGGGCTCAACAAGAGGATCTGGCTGGACTAACAATACCGCAAACACTGGCATTACTCTCTCTCTGGAGCTCCAGTTATTGAGAAAAGTCTATGGATCTTGCAGACAAGAAGCAGCATCACCTATCTCTGCATTTATTAGCTTTTTTGCCCAAATAGATAGTTTAAAAGAAGAGCCACGACTTGTGATAATTTGGTTATACCACAGGGATAAATCCAAGTTTGTGATTTTCAAAATCCTGAGCTCTTATTCAAGAAAGTATCAGAATGCTGACAAAACCTAAAGGCTGTCAAGGGCACACTCTTTCTGATCCAACTTCTCTCAGAATGTGGTAGGCAAGAAGTAACATGGGTAGAGTTTTTCCTTGGTTTGTTTTTTAAGGAGTACTCCCACATTTTGGCATGTGTAAGCAAAATTAAGCAAAACAAACAAACATAAAACCTCAAACAAAACCCAACCAAAACAAACAAAACCCCAAAAATCCTCAAACCAACCAACCAAAAAAAAACAACCTAAACAAAAAAGGAAACAAAAAAGGAAACACTAGAAATTTACAAAGAAATTACATCTGGATTAGCAAAAATTCCTGTCATGTATGACAGCATTTTTATTCCCTCTTTAAAAAAGACTGTGATCTTTGGAAAAGCTGTTTCTTCTTTGGGGTAGATTCAAAATTTCAGCCTGGACATGAGTTCATACACTCAAGTCCTCCAGCTTTGTTCTGTATTTTGATTAGAACAATATGGACCATGGGCAAAAAAAAATGCTGTGGGCATATCTGGTGTTTACTCTGTGTTCACCCAAACAGAACCACTCCAGAGAGAAGTCAAGAAGGAACTGTACTGTAAAAAAACCAACCAAAAACTCTCACTTTCCCAACAGAGATCCACACAGACATCTGGAAAAGAAAATCTGAAACAAGTCAGCACCTAGACTGAGAGGTTTTTCCCCCTAATGCTGTGGTATCACAATAAATTGAAACCAAGCAAGGCAAGAAGAAAGGAAAAAAAATATCTAATTTTCATCTGTTTTCTCTTGTGTCAAAACAAATGCTTACACAATAAACTCAAGTTGCCTCTAGGACTGGAAGCTTCAATCAAAGGAGCTAAGAAACTTGAAGGCCTGCATTTCTCTAAGAGTAGTTCCACTGATCCCACACAGGTATGTCCTCTTTGGGATAAATGTCTGAAAAACTCTGCTGATTGAAATTGTCCATTCATGGAAGAAAGATAAATTAGAAAAAAAGGATCCAAGTTCTGCTGGATAAATTGTTATATAGATAAATTATTAGAAATATTACACATATTATTACAACTAGTAGGCGTGTGTTATGTGCTGAAATCTGTGGTACAGCTTTATCCCTTAAACATATATAAAGAATGACAGTAAAATGGCATTTTGGAATAATGACTTGAGAACAGAAAAAACCCCAAACATACAAAACATTAAAAAAATATGGCTTCAGGCTGAAATGTTACAGTTGACTTCTGGCTTATAAATATGGGAATAAAGTAAGGTAGGTGTACATACAACAGCTTTGTCTCTGAGCCAGAGGTACAGGGCAACTACAAATTAAACTATGCTTGAACACAATTCTAACTTCTCCCACTTAAACCTTATTTTTCCCTTCCCCTGCAGAGCCTGATGAAACTAACATGCTGAATGAAATGCTATTGATTAGACCCTGAAATACACATTGGAAATGTCAAGCACAGCTGTCTTAACACAGGGAACCAAATTAATGTTCTAAGTTTAACTTCACCCAAATTAAAAAATACACAAATAAACTAAACCCCGGAAATTGCATTTGTAACTTTAAAATATGCATTGTTACAGAACTATCTTCTGGCTTAGACAGAAGATGTGTGAAAGATACATTCAAAATGTAAAGCATGGCTGTCTTAACACAGGGAACCAAGTCAATGTTGTAAGTTTAACTTCATCCAAACTAAAAAAATATACAAATAACTAAAACTCTGGAGGCTGCATTTATAACTTTAAAATATGTATTATTACAGAACTGTCTTCTGACTTAGAAGATCTGTGAAATACACATTCGAAGTGTAAAGCACAGCTGTCTTAACACAGGAGACCAAGCTAATGTTCTAAGGTTAACTTCATCCCGACTAAAAAATATACAAATAAACTAAAACCCCGGAGGTACTTTAAAATACGCATTATTACAGAACTCCCTTCTGATTTAGAACACTGAAATGAGAGACTGCACCTTTCTTGCGGCAGCCCGTGCCAAGTCCCTCCTTGCCCTCCGCTTCCCCGGGGGGATGCAGGACCCAGCGCAGGGACCGCCCGCGGCTGAGCGCACACCGCGATACCGCCAGGGCTCGCCAGGGAGGCCCGGTCGGACACCTCGCATTGCCCTCTGCTCCTACAGCCAGCTCAGCTCAGCTAAACCCAGCTTAGCTAAACTCAGCTTAGCTAAACTCAGCTCAGCCCAGCCCAGCAGCGCCAGGGCGCTCCCGCCGCGCACGGGCGGCACGACCCCGGCCAAGTCCCCGCGGCTCGCCCTTCCCGTCCCCGCCCTTACTCGGAGCTGGCGGCCAGTGAGGAGCCGCCAGAGCCGGTGTCGGTGTCGGTGTCGCTGCCGGTTCCCGCGGGCTCGGCGCTTTCTCCCCGGGCCGCCTCCATCCCCTCGGCAGCGCTGCTCCCGGCGGCCGCCCGGGACGCCATGACAGCTTCGCGCCGGGCGGGGGGCACGTGACGCGCGCCGCGCCCTCCCATTGGCCGGCGGCCCCCGTCGACATGGGAACGGAGGGACGCGGGAGCGCCCGGCCGTGAGGGGCCGTGAGGGGCCGTCCCCCGGCGCTGAGGGCAGACCCTCCATGGCCGCGGGAATTGCCCTGTGCCCGGCATCCCCCGGCTTCCCCCGGCCCTCGGACGCCTTTCCCTGGCTCAACAGGAGCGCACCAGACTTTATTTAGTTGCCCGATTGCAAGGTCCCAGCAGCCGTCGCGTAAAAGACGCCGGTAGTGAAACTCCGGCGTCCCGCGGTGAGGCTCAGAGCGTTGTAACCAAACACTGGTCAGGAGGGGGAAACACGAGGTAAAAATAGGTTCTGAGGGCAGCTGGTAAGCAATAGGATGCCTCTGTGCTTTATTTTATGTGCTATTGTATCAATTTAACGAGCTGTGAGGAATTAAGGTACTTTCTCCTTAGATTTGTCAGGAGAGCAGGGCGGTTCAGGGGAAGCAAGGATGTGACAGGCCCAAACAAGTGCCTTAAAACAGCCCCTGCAGTCTACACGTGTAAAATCATGCACAGCCGAGACACACACACACACACAAAAAACCCCTACTCGGTTTTCAGGACTTAAATTATTCATATTCATGAAAAAACAAGACCTATGGCAGCCCTGCAGACAACTTGCAGTGTAGCTGTGTCAGTAAAGCCATCAGGACACACATGGTGAGCTGGGAAAGGGATGGAGAGTAATTGTTGGAACATGTTTCATGGGCTGGATTTAATCTCTGCTCTGTGGGATATTTGCACAGCTTCAGCAGTGAGGTTTTATAGCCCTGGAACACTACAGAGAAGTGACAGAATCCTGGTATGAAATTGCTGTGCTTGAAATTGCTTTAGGGAAGCGTACATTAGTTAGCGTGATTTCAAGTGAATTAACAGACAGAAATGTTTTGGACTCACATCCATGTGATTAAGGCTTCAACTGGAGTAAAAATACCTCTATTAAGTACTGAAGGGCCATTCTGAAGTCCCTGAACAAGACCTGA